TTCCCATATTGGCCCTGTTCAAAAATGTTTGTGTCTTTTTGCACCCCAACTCCCTCACATCTCTATCAGGACCCGCCCTCTACAACTTACCAGCCAGATGGACATCTAGTCTCAGGTGGAAGACCTCTAGTGATGCAGAGCCCATTTGACTTGGGACAGTGCCGTTTGTTAGGAAGTCAAGTAGCAGCATGCAGCTTTCACTTGGAACCTAAGCCCTCCCAGCCATGGCAGCCTTTCAGATGCATGGCCCCATGTCCTTCCCACCCCAAGTCATCTCTTCTCTCATGGCCTGATCTTCAGTCCTGGGCACCCTCCACTACACTTTGCAATATTCTTCCCCAAAATGCCATGCCCAGAGCTGAACACAGCTCTCCAAAAGTGCTCTTTATTAGGGGCAAGAACAGTGGGACACTTGCCTCCTCGTTCTAGACATCACCTCTTCTGCTTTTTGGCTGCCACATTGGCCTGCTGACTTGGTTTCAGTGCCCAGCCCACTAAATCAAAGAGCTCTTCAAATGTCTGGCACGTCTCTAGGTCCTTGGGTGCGGCGTTTTGACTGAGTCCAATTTTGATAGAACAAATCCTTTGATTAAGAGGATTTGTTCTGTGAAGTTTGGATTCAAAGGGCTGCACTGTGGACCTAGGGGGCCACGTGTGGCCTCGAGGAGGCAGGTTCCCCAGCCCTGCTTCTAAACCCATACTTATAAAATTAGTGTTTTGGAACCCAAGAGTAGGCTTGATATTTATTCCCGTAGATGTTATCTCAGCTGTGGCCTTTCTGCTCTGCTGAAATCTTTTTGGACCCTCTTATCCATACTTCAGCTATTATGGTAAACCTTCAGCTTCAATGAACGTGCCATCCATACAGCTTCATCCACATCATTAATACTAATGTTGAGCTTCATAGGTAGGTCCCGGGACCAATCCCTTGGCTCCTCCACTGGAGAGCTCCCTTCCTAGCTCCCCCGTTGGGAGCCAGAGCCCAGACTTCCCAGAATAGAGGGCAACTGTAGCTTTTCCTCCCTTCCTGCCCCGACTCTGATGCCATCTCAGGCTGCTAAGGTTCTTCTCTGGGCCCCAAAGTAGGGAGGGTCAGTGCCTCGGCAGCTGCAATAAGGGAGGCTGGGGAGGTGTTCGTTTTCAGATATCTGTAGGCCTCTGTCCCTGTGCATTTTTAATGGTCTGTTTACCAAGGTTGGGGTATAGGGTGATGCCTCAATGTGTGGCTTCTGCCTTTGAGGCTCCAGAGTGAGCAGGATTAGCTTCTGCTCCCTAATTGGGCATCCTCTGTATGCAGGCAGAGGGGCAGCAGCCAAAGTGGCCTTGGCACGGGTGATTCTTGAAACTCAGGGATGCTGGGTGCCCGGCCAGGGCAGCCACCGAGAAAAGAGGCAGAAAGCAGCCTAGGATAGCTTTGTCCAGGGACTGACCTTCCTCGGCATTCTGGTGACCTTTTTCCTGCCTAGCCAGCAGCGAATACCAAACCTAGGCTCCCAAGGAGACTGGAGACAATTCTTTTTCTTCTCTTTCCCCTCAAATCATTTTTAAAATTACAAACGTAACTCTCTAAAAATACAAATAAGCAGAGTATGGACGAAAAACCCAAGTAAAACCATCAAGTCCAAACTATTTGCATTTTAACTTTTGTAAGAGAGAAAAAGAAAGAAAACTTGTAAAAGTTCTTATTTATTTAAAGTTTATATTTTTCAGTTTCTTTTGAAATTGAAATGCCCATCATTGGCATTTGATGGTTTGACTTGGACCATTGGATTCCAGATCCTGGTTGTTTACAAAAGAGCCGAGTGACCTCCTTGCTTAACCCCCCTGGGTCTCAGTTTCCTCAGCTGTAAAATAAAGGGGTTAAACCAGTTGACCTCTTGTTTCCTTTCCAGCCACAGGGCTATGAACATGGGACCTGAACAGGGATCTCCCAGGCGGGCAGGCAGGGGGGGCCATACCCCAGTGTTATCGGAGAGAGAGCCTGAGAAAACAAACACGAACATTAGGAAATAAAACCTTCCCACCTCTCCTTGTTTTCTTATAAAGTTATTGTGTACAAAGGCCCACAGATGGGAGATGAGAGCTGGGGTGCCTTGGGAGGAGCAGAGAATGCCTGTTTATGGCATTGCCTGGCATGTCCTGGGAAGAGCTTGGAAAGCCCCCCAGAGGGGTGTCTCTCATCCTGAGGGGGGGGAGCACCACTGGCATTGCCCCAGTAGGGGAGTGACATGCTCTGATCTGGGCTTAAACAGAATCACTGTGGCAGCTGCGTTGAGGATGGGCAGGAGCCAGGGTGAATCTGAACAGGAAATTTCACCAATGAGAAGACTGTTAGAACCATCTTGGTGAGAGATGATGAGGGCCTGAAGGGAGGAGCAGCTGGTTTTGTGAGTAGAGAAAAGGGATTGAATGAGAGATGGGAGGAGGAAACACCAAGGCTTGGTATGATGTGGGTAGTGAGGGGGTAGTGAAGACCAGAGGCAAGAATGACCCCAAGCTTGAGATCCCAGGAGATGGGCACATGGTGGTGCCCTCAACAGAAGTGGGGAGTTTGAGAGAGGAGAGGATCTGGGGGCAAAATGAATGAGATCTGTTTGGGACACGTTGAGTCTGAGATGTTTCTGGGGCAGCCAGCTTGCGATGAATGGCCAGTAGGTTGGAGATTTGAGAGTCAGACACAGCTCTTCAAAGTGTTTAGAGCCATTTTCAGGCCCACCAATGATATGATAGAATGCTGTTTCCCCAGACCCACCAACATCACGTTTTATCATTTTTACCCTTTCTTCAATTTGTGGGGGTGTAATGTAGTACCTTAGGTGATTTTATTTAATTTTTTAATTTCTCTTTTTATTGTAAACTTCATCACCCCAAACCACAAACATTTCAATAAGCAGGGAAGAAGGGGAGGACTGTAGAAGAAACCAGGAATGGTTAGCTTCAGGGGGTTGCTTTTTCAGAAGTGCATATATTAAATTTAATGAATTTTGCCTCCATATAAGCCTTCCTCCAATGCCTCCTTGGGGCCAGGAGCTGCCCCGAGGCTCTCCAAGGCTTTACCAGTTGAGGACAAGCCTCTGGGAGGCTCCAGTTTGGAGCAGAGGACTCTGCTTTCCAAGGACCAGCCTCTCCAATCATGTCCCTGGTAGCTGGGCACCCCTGGTAGCCAGGCTGCTGGGTGAGGAAGGCTTCAAGAGAGTGCAGAGTGGCCCTGTTCCCGCAGTGGATCAGGGATGGAGTGGTGGGGGGGAGCTAATGAGCCATTCCCCCCAACCCCCAGTCCATATTTTTTCCCTATGAATATGATTAACTCATTCTAAGAGAGGCGCATGGTAGAGTCAAAGAGCTAGCCTCCCTGTCAGGAAGCTCCGGGTTCAGGTCCAGCCTCAGATACATACTGGCCACATGACCCTAAGACTGTGAAGCTGCAGGGTGGTTGTAGATGCCTAATAAATGCTAGGTGACTGACTGATCTGCTTTGGTAGAAGGGGAGTTTCTAGACTGGGGGCCTTCCTACACAGGAAATCACACGTCTGGACCAAAAACCTCATTCTATAAAGTGGCCCGTTGGCATTGCATTAAAACGTTAAATTCACTTAGGAAGTGTAGCTATTTCTCTGCAATGCCCAGCTAGACTTGAGGGGAAGCCCCCTTCTTTCTCTGGCTGGGCCTCTGTCCCTCGGCCTTTATGCTGCCTTTTTCCTCACATTTGTCTGTGGCCTGCTTATTAATAATAACTCCCTGAGGAAAGGCATGGGGACTCTGCACCTTTTAAAAGGGGACAGGTTAAGTCCCCTTGCCAGTGGAGCTCATGACAGTCCCTCCACCAAGGGTGAATGTGGGACTCAGAGATTTCAGACCCAGGTTGCTAACGGGACATAAAGAGGAATGAGTCATTGTCCCCCAGGCTCACCCCCACCCCGACCCTGACAGGCCTCATGATACATGGCCCCGGCTCATGGGTCTGTGGCCGTGGACAGCTCCCCTTCATGCCCCCTCACATCGCTGGCCCTTGGCACTGGAGAAGCCCAGATCATGGTGATTCTCAGGAGGAGGGCCCTGAAGGGCTCTGGGAGCACCATCACTCAGGTGGAGAGGGATGTGGTTTCAGTTCCAAAGGCTAGAAAGAGACAGGGCTGTGCTTGTGTGGACGAGCCTAGTGAGCTGGTGAGTGGGGACTCTACAGGAAAGTCTGGCTCAGGCCTGGGCTTTGGGCCTCTCTGGCTCTCCAAAAGCAGTTGCCCTGGCTTCCTGCCAATCCCAGTGGTGAGCCTACAGCTCTGACCTTGTCCCCTGCCCACTGCCGTGCTTAGCACAGAGCTTCTCAGACTCGACTCTCCTCTTTCAGCTTCTTAAAAAGATGGGGTTTAAAAAAATTTTTTTAGGGGAGTTTTTTTTAATCTAAAGAATTTTAAGCCAAATGATTTACTGCTCTGACAAAGAAGCCCATCTATAATTCCTACTGGGTGCAATTCAAGAGACTGCTGGTTATCCTGGCCTGGAGTACGAGGAACACTTGGCAGTTGAATGAATGAATGAATGAATGAATGAATGAATGTAGGAACACCCAGCTGTTGAATGCATGAATGTTAAGCATTTACTGTGTGCAAAGCACTGTGTTAAATGTGGGGCCTATCAATATCTGTTTCTGATGTTAAACCATCTGACAGGGTCCAGGACTTTGGTGCCACACTCCTTTGTTTCTGGGGCTTCATGGGTTTCTGGGTGGTGCCTTCCTAGGATGATGGCTTCAGAGGCTGGGTGGTCTGGTGTGGGGTGGGGGTGGGGAAGGAGCATTGTCACCACTCCCAAGACTTTTGGGTTTGCTCCAGACCTGCTACTTGTTCTTGCTGCCGGGGCCACCCATAGATGGCAGCCAGAGGAAAGGAACCTGTAGTTCTTGTAAGGGAGTCTTGCAGCTTCCCAGAGGCTCCTGGAGGGCTTTCTCCCAGGTGCATCCTTCCATGAACCCAAGAACACTCATTTAACCACTTCTCCTACAGGGCAGCTGGTAGCAGAGAAATAAAGCAGGATGCCCCCGGGAGTCGACTGTCCTATGGAATTCTGGTCCAAGGAAGAAAACCAGAGCGTGGTGGTAGATTTCTTGTTGCCTACAGGGGTCTACCTGAACTTCCCCGTCTCTCGAAATGCCAACCTCAGCACCATCAAACAGGTACTGCGCACTCTGCTGCTTGCTAATGCTTCAGAGTCTGGCTATCTGAATCCCCAAGATGCTTCAACATTTCTCCGAGCCTTGGGGGCACACAGGTTCGCGATGGGGTCACAGAAGGCTTGGCCACCCCTGCCTCTGCCCAAGGCACACAGAGAGGGAACAGAGGCTTTGTCCAGAGGACTGATTTTCCTCTCCCCTTAGGGGTCTCTTCTTCAATGGCTCCGCTGGGTTTTCTTCTCTCATTAAGAAGGTTTGGAGGGGAAATGGTGGCCAGTAATGACAGCCTCATTGCTGCCCTCTTCCTGCCCCAGAGCATGCTAGGACTAAACCAGGCTGTACCTGACCAGGGAAGGTTTGCAGATGTGGGGGGGCCATGAATGGGGAGCATCATGTGTAATGCCAGCTTTTTCAGTGCAGCATTGGTTTTGTGGAATTTTTTTCCTCTTCCTCTTAAAAAAGTCTATGTTAATTATCAGGAGGAAATCCAGCTGATATAAAAACAAAAACTATCAATAAATTAAACATCTGTTTTTAAAAAGAGAGTGCTTAGCCTGTAAATGTTTTGGGGTGAAGTCAGGAGAGGCCCCTTTAGGAGGGCTTCTGTAGGAGGGAGGGAAATAGCGAGAAGGTTTGCCAGGTGCTTTCCTCACAACAGCCCTGGGAGGCAGGGAATGCAAGTATTATTATTCCCATTTTATGAATGGGGGAACTGAGGTTTCATAAGGTGATAGCACTTGTCTAAAGTCTTATAGCCAATAAGTACTTGGTGAGGATTCAGACCCAGAGCTTTTATTTCCAAGTCCTGGTTTTTGTTTCTCCCGTCCCCTCCTCTCCCCCGCCCCCCGACTGTGGCCTTCTTAGAGGCTGGGGGGAGGGAATGGAGGGCAGCTTTATGTGTGGGTGAACATATGCTCCTAGGGGTCTGTGTCTTCTCCCTGTAGCTACCCCCTTGGTGCCTCAGTCTAAACCATCCATTGGGAAAGGCTGAGGAGGGAAGTCCTTATGGAGAACCCTTCCAGTGCCACCTGGGAAAGAAGGAGTCTTGAGTTCTATGAGAATCAGCCCTTGGTCCACTGGTCAGCCTTGACCACCCACCTCTGATCCATTGTACATATGTCTTTGATCTTCTTCTATCTCGGGCAGATTTCAGACAGAGCCCCCAAACCCTCAAGGCTGAGTTAGGAATTTTCAGGTGGTGATCTCAGCCATGAAAGGACTGTGGACTAAGAGTGTCTGGAAAACTTGGCCTTGCTTGGAGGAAGGCAGAGTAGACAGTTCTTGCCAGCCCAGTGCCCACAGTGGGCCAAGAGATGGCCACCAATTCCCCACAGACTCGCTTTCATCCGAATGAATGGGAAGATTGGTGCCACTTTGGATGACAAACTCAGATGGATGGCTCCCTCCAAAAAAGTGATGTAAAAGAATTATTCCAGCCATTGGAGCATGGAGATTGGCTTTTTATCAGCCCCACAGTTTGATCAGTGCAAGGAAGGAGCTGCTGGTGACGAGCTCCCTCTAACAGCCCAGACTTGCCCCTTCTCTGTAACTTATAGCATTCCCAGAGAGCCTCCTGGGGGGCACCAGGAGGTGAGTGACTTGCGCAGGCCCCACAGCCAGTAGTGTAAGAGACAGGACTGGAACCTGGTTCTTCCTGACTCCCCATGCCCCGTGCACACTGACTGTCATCGTCCAGTGAGTAAGGTTAACACTGAGACTCCAGCAGTGCATCTGGACTGACCTCAGGCCTCTGAGGGATGACCCTTGAGAACCCTGGCCAAGGAAGTCATTGCATTCAGTTTGGGGATTTTTTGTTTAAATCTCATTATTTTATTCTGAACCCTAACACCTCAAAACAAGAGCATTTTCATAATTCTGTTATTGCTGTTCAGTCGTTTTCAGTCTTGTCTGACTCTTTGTGGCCCCAGTTGGAGTTTCCTTGGCAAAGATACTGGAGTGGTTTGCTATTCTGTTCTCCAGCTCATTTTACAGAAGAGGAAACTGAGGCAAATGGTGACATGACTTGCCCAGGGTCAAACATCTAGTAATAGTCTGAGGATGGATTTGAACTCAGGGAGATAAGTCTTCCTGACTCCAGGCCTCGTATTCTATCCACTGGCCCATGTAGCTGCCCACATATTCCCCAGAACACAAAAAAAGATTATATATGAAACCATAAATCTTCTGTTCATCCTGCTTCCTTTTTTAAGAAAGTATTTAACAAATTCTAAATGTTATTTTCAAAACTGCCCTGTTTATCTGTACTCCTTTCTGAACTTTCTTCTTTTCTTTTCTGGGCATAAAGAAAAAGCCCCAAACTTCATAACTTTCTAACCTCAAAATGAAAAATGGAAGTTGAATTTGGGGTCTGGGAAGCTAGAGTCCACTAATGGGAACCTCTAGAACTGTTCCTGGGCCCTTGATGGAAGGCTCCCTGAGGGCACTGGACACGTGGTACCCTGGTGGTGGCTCCTTATTGCCAGGCTCAATAGTTCTGCAATATCGGGGCAGTTGGCTAAGGCTGCCATGTTCTGGGGCACCTTGCCTTCCCCATGCTGCCTCCCGAAAAAGGGACCTGGGTGGTGCAGTAACTGGTTAATAATGATCATAATAACTAACATTTACATTAACGAATGTATAACTGACATCTGTAGAACACCTACTGGGCACCAAGTGCCGTGTTAAGTGCTTCACAAACATCACTTCATCTGATCCTCACCCCAACCCTGGGAGGGAGATGCCCTTATTATCTTTTACAGATGAGGAAACTGAGGCAAACAGAAGTGACGTGACTTGCCTAAGGCCACACAGCTGGTAATTTTCTGAGCCTGGATTTAAATTCAGGTCTTCCTGACTGCAGGCCCAGTGCTTTATCCACCGTGCCTCCTGGCATGGAGTCCTGCTTCAGACACTTGCTAGTCACATCACCTTGGGCAGGTCACTTAATTTTTCTTAGCCTGAGTTTCCTCTTCTGTAAAATGAGAATAAAAACAGCTCCTGCTCCCCAGGGCTGTAGTGAGGCCAAAGACGAGATAGTATTTGTAGAAATGCTGTGGTGACCTAGAAAACAAACGAGGCTTCTCTGCTTGCTGTGGCCTCGTTGGGGCCCGGCGCTGAGGGCTGACCTCTCCCCCAGGTCCTCTGGCACCATGCCCAGTATGAGCCCCTGTTCCACATGCTCAGTGACCCCGAAGCCTACGTCTTCACCTGCATCAACCAGACGGCCGAGCAGCAGGAGCTGGAGGACGAGCAGCGGCGCCTCTGTGACATCCAGCCCTTCCTGCCTGTGCTGCGGCTCGTGGCCCGCCAGGGGGACCGCGTGAAGAAGCTTATCAATTCTCAGATCAGCCTCCTCATCGGGAAGGGTGAGCCCATGGGCCGCACCCACCACCAGTGCGGGTGGGGGGACCGCTCCGCTGTGGGAGGGCCATGTCACAGCCCGGCTCGTCCTCAGGTCTGCACGAGTTTGACTCTCTGCGGGACCCAGAAGTCAATGACTTCCGCACCAAGATGCGCCAGTTCTGTGAAGAGGCGGCAGCCCACCGGCAGCAGCTGGGCTGGGAGGCCTGGATGCATTACAACTTCCCGTTACAGCTGGAGCCCTGTGCCCGGGGCTTGGGGACCGGGACACTGCGCGTCCCCAACAGGACCCTCCTTGTCAATGTCAAGTTTGAGGGCAATGAGGTGAGCGAGCCCCGCTGCGCTGGCGGCTGGCTGGGAAGTGGGCGTGTGCCCTCGGGGGCACTCCCGGGCCCCCTCCATCATTACACGGTGCCCAGGGCCCTTGAGTCAGGCCCGAGCCTAGAAAGACCTTCCTGGGGCTCCAGCTCCCATCCTTGCTCTCCGGGCCGGGGGGCTCCTCCATAGTGGCTGCTGCTGACTCTCCTCTCCCCTCCTCCCCCAGGAAAGCTTCACCTTCCAGGTGTCTCCCAATGACTTTCCCTTGGCCCTCATGGCCTGTGCCCTCAAGAAGAGGGCCACCGTGTTTCGGCAGTCAGCCATGGAGCGGCCAGAGGACTACACCCTGAAGGTGAACGGGAAGTTCGAGTACCTGTATGGCGGCTACCCCCTCCACCAGTTCCAGGTGAGGCGCGGGAGGCCTAGGGACATTTCTGATTGGGGGTGTTGGTGATTCACCCCCGGTCTGTAACCCCCCAGACCAGCCGAAAGCCCTCTCTCAGAGGCAGGGAGCTGCCCCTCGGGGTGCCTTCGTGGGTACCTGCTGCAGAAGGCAGAAAGCCTGGGCAGGGCAGTCGCTTGCTGTGGACCTCTGTCTGATTGTCCTGTAGGGCTGCCCCAGCCATTCCTCCTCCTCTTCCTGCTCCTCCTCTCCTTCCAGTATATCTGCAATTGCCTCCACAAGGGGCTGACCCCCCATCTCACCATGGTGCACTCCTCCTCCATCCTGGCTATGCGAGATGAGCAGAGCAACCCCACTGCGCAGGCCCCAAAGCTCCGCACCAAGCCGCCCCCGATCCCTGTGAAGAAGGTGAGCCTGCTCCCCTGGGGAACCTCAGACCCTGGCCGCTCTGTCGGCTGGGTGTCCTGAGGCTCGGCCTCTTCTGCACGGAGGTCCAGCTTTTCCTTCTTCCCTTACACGCTGCCTCGCCTGTCTGGTCATTGACCCGACTGCTCATGGCCCCCAGAAAGTCTGGCTCATTAGAGGGTTAGAGGGACCCCAGAGAGAGCCGCTGGAAGGCGGCTGGGAAGAACGCCCCTAGGAAGGCTCTGATGGGACAAGGCTGCAGAGGAGGCGGGCCCATGGGCCACGGGCCCCCAAGGGCTGCTCAGCTTCCTGGCTCCCTCTGCCAGATAGGAACCCGTCCGGGTCTATGCTCTCTCTTCAGCCGTCCTCCGTGTCCCTCTGGTCCCTGGAGCAGCCCTTCTGCATCGAGCTGGTTCAGGGCAGCAAGGTGAATGCGGACGAGAGGATGAAGGTACGGGGGCCACGTGGGGGCTTGGGAGGCCGACGCTGCTATGTACAGACAAGGCCATCCGCGCTGGGAGGGGTGGGGTGGGGGGACGACGGTGGGCATCACATGAAGCCACCTGACCACATTACCCAGCAGCTCTCGGAAGGGTGGTTTGTGAGATGGTTCAAAACAGGAAGGGGGCGTAGGGCTGACTAACCCATCTGACTGTCAGGTTCTTAGAAATTCTGGGGACACTGGCTTCTGGGAATCTGACTTGTTAAAGTGCTCAGGGGTTCAGAGCGCGGCTCCACTGGGTTGGCAGGCTCGGGCCTGAGGAGGTGACCACTGTGGGTCAGCCATGTCTCTCCGGGACAGTTTGGCACAGCTCCTGGCCAGGGAACTAGTGGTTCTGTGTCAGGCCGTTGAGTCAGGATCACAGGATTCTCTGGAGACCCTCCCCCTTTTTTTTAGATTCCACCCCCAGCAGAAAACAAGCCCCCGGAGGGCAAGGCCCAGGGGCAGTTTGGTATGTGGCCCCCTCGTGCCCAATGCTCATTGGGCTGGACTGGAGCTGAGGTGCAGAGGGGCCATCTGGCCATGGGGGCGTGCCTCAGCCTGTCCTCCGGGGGTCTCTCCATAGCCCCACTTTCTGTCCCTTCCCTTTCTGTCCAGCTCATCACCAAGTCATCCAAGGTGACAGAGGGGCTGGGCCTGGGCTTGGAGTCAGGAGACCCTCCCTCTATCTCATTCTGGGAGAGACATCTCACCTTCAACACTTGCCTCAGTTTCCTCGTCTGTAAAATGAGGAGATTGGATTCAGAGGCCTGGTGGGCTTCTCACTCCAGACCACAGTCCTCTGATCCTGACGCCTTCCCTTGCATAGACTTCCTGCTGCTCTGTGCCGGAAACAGTTGAGCCCATTTCAGAGAGAAGGCTGAGGCCAGTAGCAGGGGGTTGTCATCCGGCCAACCTTCTTCCCAGGCCCCGGAGGAAGCCAGGTCCCTCTGGCCTGGCATGTCCCAGTCACGACGCTCCTGCTCTGCTTTCCCCCATACTAGCTCGTGGTCCTGGCCGGTCTCTTCCACGGGAATGAGATGCTGTGTAAGACGGTGTCCAGCTCTGAGGTGACCGTGTGCTCGGAGCCCGTGTGGAAACAGCGCCTTGAGTTTGACATCAATATCTGTGACCTGCCCCGCATGGCCCGGCTCTGCTTTGCCCTCTACGCTGTCATCGAGAAGGCCAAGAAGGCTCGTTCCACCAAAAAAAAGTCCAAGAAGGCGGTAGGTAGAGAGAGCCGGCCCTTGGGGAGGCATCCCTGTGGGGGCATCAGACGTGGCTGCCCCAGGCATAGGAACTGGTCAGAATAAAGGTAGAGGATTCCTCAGATGGGGCATTGGGTGAGTCCTTGCAGGGTCAGAGTTCATGCTAGCTAAAGTGGACAGAAGAGAGAAGCCAGTGATGCTGGTCCCCTGGGTCCTCCCCCTTCTCCTTCCTTCCCACAGCCACATAGGCGTAAGGACTACAGATCTGGGGGTGTGCTTGGGTTGAGGGGCTGCCGGGAGCCTGCCAGAGAAAGGGCTGGGCTGGGAGATCCGGAGAGTCGCAGCATGGCCTCGGGGCCACGACTCACTCCTCTGGGGCTTTATCCCAAGCCTGGCTTAGCTGACCAGTGCCAGCCTCACTGCTAGGATCTGATGATGGTACTTTGGGGGGGGGGTGGAGGAAGGGGGAAGCGAGAAGGGAATGTGCTTCTCCCTTGTGACACTGGGACCTTGGGGAACAAAAGGGAGGGTTCATGTCTCAGAAAACCCAACACCAGCTTATCCTCTGGGCTTGAGCAGGGCAAAGGGCCCCATTGGTCTGCCTGCTCCAGAGCCCCCATGAACTCCGCCTGGGCCCCCTTTGTCCATCTGCCTGCTCCAGAGCCTTTGTGCACTCCACCTGTGCCCCGTCTGCCTGTTCCAGAGCCCCCCTGCACTCTGTCATGGCCTGGGCCCTGTCTGCCTGTCCCAGAGCCCCCGTGCACTCTGCCTGGGCCCCGTCTACCTGTCCCAGAGCCCCCCTGCACTCTGTCATGGCCTGGGCCTGGTCCGCCTGCCCCAGAGCGCCCATGCACTCTGCCTGGGCCCCGTCTACCTGCCCCAGAGCCCCCGTGCACTCTGTCATGGCCTGAGCCTCTCCTTCCCTTTCACTTTCAGAAGTACATTCAGAGAGAGCCACGGGCTAAGGAAAGGAGGAGGGAATTTGGGATGCTTCTGCCCAGACCATCAGCAGAGAGCTCAGCCAGGACCTTAGAGGCCCAGGGAAAGGTGCAGGGCAGGCCTGAGTCTGGGGCAGATGTGGGGATGTCACAGTGTGGGCTGGCAAGGCCTGGCTTTGGTACCAGATATCTGCATGACCCTGGGTGAGTCCTTTCTCTCCCTGGGTGTTAGAGCAGATTCTCAGGCTCTGTGGGATCAGGCCAGACAAGAGGCTCCGAGCCGGGCTGAAGGGATTCTGTCCTCTAATGGCCTAGGGAGCCTCATTACCAGGAGGGGGCGGGACTCTACTGTCCCCCACCCTCTTCTCTGCCCCCTTCCCTTCCCAGGACTGTCCTATTGCTTGGGCCAACCTCATGCTGTTTGACTACAAGGACCAGCTGAAGACTGGCGAGTGCTGCCTGTACATGTGGTCCTCCGTCCCAGGTGCGTTCACCGGCAGAACTGCCTGAGGGGAGGGGCCCCGGGCACTGCAGGGGTGGGAGGGAAGGGCGTCCCCTCGAGTGCTCTGGGGGAACCAGGTCTCCTTCCCCGGGGAGGTTCTGCTTTATGCCTCCTGCCATGCTGGTTCCGTTCCCAGATGAGAAAGGGGAGCTGCTGAACCCCATGGGCACTGTGCGGAGTAACCCCAACACTGAGAGTGCCGCTGCCCTGGTTATCTGCATCCCGGAAGTCGCTCCACACCCTGTGTACTACCCCACCATGGAGAAGGTCAGTGGCAAGGCCCTGCCCAGTGCTGTCCTCCTGGCCTGAGGCTCCCGGGCCTGGCTCGCCAGCTTTGTCCCCTTCGGGCTGGTCTTGACCTCTGGTCCCAGGACCTTCTCAAAGACTGTCGTCCTGGGGCAGCTAGGTGGCGCAGTGGATAGAGCACTAGCCCTGAAGTCAGGAGGACCCGAGTTCAAATCCGGCCTCAGACCAAACACTTGACACTTACTAGCTGTGTGATCCTGGGCAAGTCACTTAACCTCAATTGCCTAAAAAAACCAAAAAACAAAGACTGTCATCCTACTTGGGCAGCAGCACTGAGCCTCGTGGGGCTGGGCTTTTTTGTAGATCTTGGAGCTGGGGAAAAACGGGGAGCACGGACGCTTCACTGAGGATGAGGTAAGTGACACTGAGGATGAGGTAAGTGAGCCCCGGCCTTCCCTGACTCTGCTGCCCCGGGGGCCAGGGCTCAGGGAGAGAGCCGGGGAAGGGGCCTGCCCGGCTCCTGGGCCTGGTGGGCGAGCCTGCCCTCTGCTCCTCTGCCTCCTCCAGCTGCAGCAGCTGCGGGAGATCCTGGAGCGCAAGGTGGCCGCAGAGCTGTATGAGCACGAGAAGGACCTGGTGTGGAAGATGCGCCATGAGATCCAGGAGCAGTTCCCTGAGGCCCTGGCCAGGCTCCTGCTGGTCACTAAGTGGAACAAGCACGAGGATGTGGCCCAGGTGGGCGTGGCCCGAGGCCGGGGGGCGCAGGCGGAGGGGCGCTGCCCCTGCTGACGCTCCCTTGCCACCGCTCTCCCCAGATGCTCTTCCTGCTGGGCTCCTGGCCCGAGCTCCCGGTGTTGAGCGCCCTGGAGCTGCTGGACTTCAGCTTCCCCGACCGCCACGTGGGCTCCTTCGCCATCCAGTCCTTGAGGAAACTGACGTGAGTCCTGCGGGCCTGTGAGAGGAGAGGGCTGTCAGGGCAAGTTCGTCCACTTGTGGTGGCGATGAGGAGACTGAGGTTCTAAGAGGGCCTTGCACAGCGTCGCTGGCTGGAAAGGGAGGGAAGCCTGATTCCCAGGCCGCATGTTTTCCACTAGACCGCACCGCTCTTCTACGATAGGAATGAGGGACCCTTTTAGGGAGGCCAGGGAGGGGCCCGTCCCGGCCACAGCCTCTGTGCCCTTTGCTTCCCTTCAGGGATGACGAGCTCTTTCAATACCTGCTGCAGCTGGTACAGGTACTCAAGTACGAATCCTACCTAGACTGTGAGTTGACCAAGTTCCTGCTGGACCGGGCCCTGGCCAACCGCAAGATCGGCCACTTCCTCTTCTGGCACCTGCGGTGAGTGTGCCCCCAGCCCCGCGGTGCCGCTGGGAGTGCAGCCCCGGGGACGGGGCAGAGGGGCTCGCTGGTCTCTGAGCGCGGCTTCCTTGTTGGGTGGGGAAGGCGTGGAGACGCGGTCCCTCGCCGGCCGCACGGGCCCTAGAGAGGCTTCTGCCGGCTCAGGTCCTCGGTCTCTCCTCCAGCTCAGAGATGCACGTCCCCTCTGTGGCTCTGCGCTTTGGCCTGATCATGGAGGCCTATTGCCGGGGCAGCAACCACCACATGAAGGCACTGATGAAGCAGGTGAGGCGCCCGCGGGGCTGCCCCGGCGAGCCGGGGGGACGAGGGGGGGGGGCCTCTCCTCCAGCCTTTTCTCCCACAGACGGCACGGTATCTGCCGGCCCGGGCTGAAGCTCGCTGAAGTCCACGAGCCGAAGCCTGTGGCCTCCCCCAGCCAGCCAGCGTTAACCGCCACCCACCCTTTCTCCTGGCCAGGGGGAGGCACTGAATAAAATGAAGGCACTGAATGACTTTGTCAAAGTGAGCTCCCAGAAGACCACCAAGCCACAGACCAAGGAATTGATGCATGTGTGTATGAGGCAGGAGACCTACTTAGAGGCCCTCTCGAACGTGCAATCTCCCCTGAACCCCAGTACCTTACTGTCTGAAGTCTGGTAAGGCAGACGGTCCTCAGGTTGCCCTCTCCCTCCCGGCCCCTCCCGCTTCTCCTTTCCCACCCCCACCCCCACGCCCCGCTCCCTCCTCTCCTCTTCCAGCCTGTGAATCCTTCCTGTCACTTCTCTGCCTCCACTCTCCGGGCTGTCGGGGGGCCTCATTTGGGCTCGCCCCCTTCTGCTGCCCTCTCCCCTGGGATGCTGGCCTCGCTGAGGGCTCTCCTTGCAGACACATTTCCCCCCCCCCCCCCCCCCCCCGTCCTTACAGCGTGGAGCAGTGCACCTTCATGGACTCCAAGATGAAGCCTTTGTGGATTGTGTACAGCAATGAGGAGGCCGGAGGAGGTGGGGACAGCCACGTTGGCATCATCTTTAAGAACGGTGATGGTGAGTGGGGACGAGGGGCGCTGCCGTCAGAGGGCTTACTCTGAGCTCTCGAGCGGGCTGGCTGGCCACTCCTGGCTACTCTGTTGGCTTGGTGCTCCCGGATGCCCGTCCCTGGCTCGGCTGAGAATCCTCAAAGAACCAGACTAGGTGTTTCTTTCCCCGGGGCAGATCTCCGCCAGGACATGCTGACTCTTCAGATGATCCAGCTGATGGACGTCCTGTGGAAGCAGGAGGGGCTGGACCTGAGGTGAGACCCTGCCCTTGTCCTCTGGCCCTGGGGGGGGGGGCGGGGCAGAAGAAGAAGGCCCCTGGGGAGGGAGGAAAGGCTAACCTCACCCACCGCGGTCTGTGAACTCTTGACTGCCTTGGCACCTTGGGTTCCCTGTGTTCACACAGCCCTGAATCTCTGGTGTCAGCGCTGTCTATCGCACATCCTGGGATGAGGGCTGCTCCCCTCTCCTTGGGTGCTCTGGGACGAACTTGCATCTTCCTTGGCATTCTGGTCAGGGGGAAGGGAAGGAAGAGGGAAAACCCTCTGGGCTTGAGACCATGGGCCTGGGTCCTACAGTTGGGGCCTCGGTGGGTGAAGGCTGCTGGCCTCAAGGCTCATGGCCTCAGAGGTACGTGTGCCCTGCCCGACACAGGATGACTCCCTACGGCTGCCTCTCCACGGGGGACCGGACGGGGCTCATCGAGGTGGTGTCACACTCGGACACCATCGCCAACATCCAGCTCAACAAAAGCAACATGGCCGCCACAGCAGCCTTCAATAAAGACGCCCTGCTGAACTGGCTGAAGTCCAAGAACCCTGGGTAGGTGAGGCTGGCTCAGCCCTGGGAACCCCTCCTCCCATGGCCAGGCTCCCTCTTTTCCAGCTGGCCCTTGGTTACTTCTGGGTGCAGCCCGAAGAGGAGACAGGATTTGGGGGGAGGCCAGAAAAGAGGGCCCAGAGAATAACCCCTAGGCCACCGGGTGGGGAACGTGGCTCCTGAAGGGACAGAAGGCAGCACTCTGGGTCTGGAGCTGGCCAGCCCAAGCGGCGATGATGGGTGTGTGACCTCTGCTCTCCAGGGAGGCCTTGGAGCGAGCCATCGAGGAGTTCACGCTCTCTTGTGCGGGCTACTGTGTGGCGACCTACGTGTTGGGCATCGGAGATCGGCACAGCGACAACATCATGATCCGAGAGAGCGGGCAGGTAGGGGCCGCGACGGCGCCCGAGCGTCTGTCCCTTTGTACCGGCCACTCCTGGCAGCGGGAAGAGGGAATTCCCGGTGTTCCGCTCGGGGTCAGGGAGGCTGTGAACACCATCCCCTTTGCCTTTTCCTTCCCAAAGCTCTTCCATATCGATTTTGGCCATTTCTTGGGCAATTTCAAGACCAAATTTGGAATCAACCGTGAACGAGTCCCATTCATCCTCACCTATGATTTTGTCCACGTGATCCAACAGGGAAAAACCAACAACAATGAGAAGTTTGAGAGGTGAGGGAGCGCGGACCTCTGCAGGTGCTGCCCTCCCTGGGCCATGAGCCAAAGGGAGGGGATGCAGGCAGGGAAGGGGGCTGGAGATGAGCATTTGGGCACTTTTCCTACCCACTCCCACTCCCTGGGTGACTTAGATTCCTTCTCTGTCCTGAGTCTCCTTAGGCCACAGATGGAAGCCTAAATCCCTCTCCTGGAATGGTAAAGGTGGGCCGGAACCCCCCGGGGTCTGTGCGGCTCACCGCCCCCGCCCCCCCCCCCGGCACTGACACCATGGGCTGGGGGGGGGGAGGTTTGAGTTTCAGGGGCTGGCTGCAGAAGCAGGCCAAGTCTCCGAGTCCCCAGACAGCTGTTGCAGCTGGAGCCGGTCACAGGCTGAGGGTGGGCTGTGCCTCGGGGCGGCGGGGAGGTGGGGTACAACCGCCGCCGCTGCCACCTCTCCCCAGGTTCCGCAGTTACTGTGAAAGGGCGTACACCATCCTGCGTCGCCACGGCCTCCTTTTCCTTCACCTCTTTGCTCTGATGCGGGCAGCGGGACTGCCTGAACTCAGCTGCTCCAAAGACATCCAGTATCTCAAGGTGAGCCTGTGGGGCTGGCTGGGAGGGCAGCCACTGGCTGTGCTCTAGGTCCCTTCAATCGATTCAGTCACTAGTTTTCCAGGGTCCTCCTTAGGGCTGACCAACAGGGGCATGAAACAGGAAAGCACAGACAACTGCCCGTGATGTGCCATGGGTCTGTGGTAGACTGCCTACCTTCGTACCAGCGCCTTGATCTAAAATGCGGCCCTCACCTCATTCAGATGATCGCTTTTCTCACCCACCACAGCTGAAAGAGGCCGGTGGCAGCAGTTCTGCCTGCTGGGGGGAGAGGGCTTCCAGATGTTTGCCCCGTCATTTGGGAAACAGTGCAGGGATCACTGTACTGGAATGCTGATGGCCTGCAGCCCGAGGCAGCTCCCCATTTCATTCTGGAGACTGGCACGAAGGAGGTGTCTGTGGGCAAAGACTACACATCTGGTCTGTCTTGAAGTTGAATGCAGGGAAGCCCTTCATTCTCCAAGCATGTCCTGATGCACACAGCAGAGAAGCCACAGGGTGATCTCAAAGCACCAAGGGCCCTGGGTTTGGTTTCGCTGTTACAATAGCTCTCTCTTCCCTCAGGACTCACTGGCCTTGGGGAAAACAGATGAAGAGGCCCTGAAGCACTTCCGAGTGAAGTTTAATGAAGCCCTTCGAGAAAGCTGGAAAACCAAAGTGAACTGGCTGGCCCACAACGTGTCCAAAGACAACCGGCAGTAGCAGTGGCCCCAGCCCCGGCCTCGAGCAGCGCCGGGGGCCCTCTGACCACTCGCCTGCAGCGCCCACTGCTGCTAAGGGACCATCAGCTGTTTCTTTGGGAGCCAAACAGCCTGTGCTGCGTCTCGCAGGGCAAGGACCTACTCCACAATTGCCTTTGGTTTACATGGAAAGAAATTCCTGCATTTAATTTATTGATGACTTGAAACTTTAAGGAAAGAAGGAAAAAGCAGCAAACTGAAATGCGTTCTTCTGTGGGGCAAGGAAAGGGAGACTTGCAGTTTGCAATAGTTCGAGCTTTGGATAAAAGAAGAAAGGGGATGGCATTTGGGCTCCGTTGTGGAGGACCCCGTCATGCTCTGAGCCAAAAAAGGCCCCCACCGGTGGGTCTCAGAGTGAGTACTGCCTCATCTTGAGATGAGAACACGTTTCCTCTGAGACCATCTTCGCTGGCTTCTGCTGTCCAGCGGGCATCACTGCATCTGCCAAGCAGCCAGGATGCCGTGCCCCACTCACCACCTCGCATCTCCTCTCTGCTGAGGCCCCATCTGGGCCCGGAGGAGGCTGCCCTGGCAAATCCTTGCTGCATCTGCGCATTCTCCACTAGCTGCTAGTACGTGGGCCGGCTCCCTGAGGAAGCCTGGGCCCTGCTGCGGCCCACTGCATTTTATTCGGGATTCAGGGATGTTCACTGTGTATCTTCTAATTTAGCTCTTTTCAGATGTGAGAAGGAAGGTTCCATCTAGTCGTTCATCAGAGCAAAGTGATTTGTCTGTACCTAAGAGGGAACAGCCAATCTAGCTCCCTGGGCAAGCCCAGGCTAAGAGGAAGCTATGAATTGTATTCACTGGCACGTCCACTTTCAGTTGGGATGTGTGGTCTTTAAATGCTTATCATCATTCAACCATGTTTAAAAAACAAATCACCACCAATTGGGCTTGTCTTAGCTTGCACTGTTAACTGAGAGGTGAGAATGGGACAAGTGTGTTATAATGTAGTCACTGGCTGCCTGCTCCAGAGAGCAGCATCTGGTTTTTTTGGTGTTTTTGTTTTTTTGTTTCTTTTTAACCTTGAAACTGTATGAAAAGCTTATAGGCTACTGTCACCATGTCCTTCGCTAGACCAGTTCCAGGTCTGGGACTTCTGAAAACTTCATTTTCTGATATGCCTTCAGCAACAAGCTTCCAGATTGTATGTGGTGAGTGGGTGATTGAGGGTGGCCAGGGCCCCTGATAGGATGGTTTACATGTCACTCCTACCTGAGGCCTGGGAGTTGCCTTCACCAAGCCTCCCTGGCCTCTTCCTGCCTTGTAACGAAGGTCCAGATGACGGAGGTTGAGGTGTTAAGGGAGTCAGAGGCAGGAATGACTCTCCTCTCCCTAGACCAGGTGCACTGTTAAATAAAGAACAAGGTGCTGCCCCCTTTCTCGGTTCAGGTCGTGTGTACATCAGGCCCAGGTGAAAGGGCCTCTTGTGTGCACAGTTAGGTTTGCCGCCGCTGGGCGGGTCTGCATCAATCAGAAATCAGCTCCCACCCACACTGCCCCTGTCCTGTTTGGAGTCCAAATTGACTGCACTTTCGTTTCAAAGTAAATAATGAAATTAAAAAAAAAACACAACAGAACAAAACCCATCCAGCTCACCTGTTTTAAAATAGGAAAAGCCAAGACTAGAACTTTATTTATTTAAACGGGTTTGTGTGCTTCCTGGCTTGAGGCAGCACAACTTTGCACATACATAGCAATTCTTGGTTTCAGTGTACAGACTGTATGTGCCTAGTTTGAAGAAATATTTTCTATTTTTTTAAATCATTTCATATTTCTGTACGTAGAAGGATGTGTTGTGTGTGACTGTGGGTTAAGACAAGTGGTCTGTGAAACCTTGGAATGAGAGGTAGAAGCAGATTTTTAAAAAAAAAATAAAGCCTTTTTACGTCATTAGAGTCTCTGCTCAAGACACACGGGGAGCTTCTCAGTGGGTTGCACTGATTTCCTTCAGAAAGAATCTCACACCAGGCTTAGAATCAGAAATTTATTGTAGCTTATAATCTTTCCGAACTGACCTATCACCAATATACACATCTGAAAGAAGAGACCAGACCACGGTTACAGACAGTATCCAGGAAGGTCACCTGTCAGTATGATGTTTACTCTTTATCACTTAGAGTCTAAGTACAGCAGCTACAGTGACAGTATATGGAAGGAAAAAATCTACACATCAACAGTAATACAGGACAACTGTTAGACATAAGTTCCCCAGTTTACTTCCAACTAGCAAGTATGCTATCACAGAAAAGTAGTCAAAATCATTCCCCCTGCCCTCCCCCCATTTTAGAAATCTAAAATTTTACATTTAAATTTCTTTTAAAAAAAAAAGTGTGTGTTTGTACGGGTTTCAGGCTCTTTGCTAACAGGTCGGCACCAAAGCCCCAGGAACAAACACAAGACGTTCCTCTCCTCTTCCCTCCAGGCCCTGGAGAGCAGACGCTTGGAGGGAACGCATGGGGGGGGGGGGAAGACAGGCCTGGAGTCCCCACAGCCAAGCTTGTCCCACCAGCCTTGGGGAGTGGGCACAAGATGGGCCTGGTCAGCTGTTTGTTCAAGGGTTTGTGCTCTGATCAGTGGTGACCTCAGCTGGCCACCTGCCCTCGTGAGCCACATGTTCAATTCGATGCACAACTGGTTTGTATAATTTGTTCTATAATTTCACTTCACCAGCGGGGGAAAAAGACATTTATGAAATAGAAACAAAAAGGCCTCATGTAAGAGTCCAGGTTACTGTACAAGGAACTACAGGTCATTAGCAGGGCTGTGTAAAATAAGGAGATGATCCCAGCTATGTCCCACCCATCCCATCACCCAAATTAGAAAAAAATATCTAACTCCCAAAGAAAATACAGAGGGCTCTGCTGTTTCTGGCCAACGAAGGGTCTCCAAACCTTGCCCTCCCCTCTATCAATCAATCAGGCAGGTAAGCGTATCCCACCCAAGAAGCAGAGCAGCCTCCAGTCAGGAGGGGGTGGGTCCCTCCAACAAAACCTGGGCATAGCACCCACATGGTTGGTCTACGGCCTCCAGGGCAGTGCTTTCTGACAACTTACCCTTGGAAATGCCTTAGGGACCAAGCCTGGAACTGTCCTAAGGCAGGGCAGCTGACCTCCAGAGATTTGGGGAAAGTCTAAACAGTTAGTTGGTTAGCCACAGACTTTCCTTTGTTCCCCATGGAAAAGACAAGAGGACACCATATCTACTCTTCCTTCTTCCCCAGCCCCCTGTCCCTGGCCTTAAACACCAGTCTCTGTTTGTTTACACTATCACAAAAAAGGACATCAACAGAATTTTAATTTATTTACAAAATATCAAAAGTTAATCATCTACACATTAACTCTCCTTCTTGCCACTTTAACACATGCACTAATTTGGAAAAAAATAAAACTTTTTTTTAAAAAAGGAAAAATGTTCACTGGGTGGGAATGAGCAATGTTTTACCCTTTGTCAACAAGTCAGAGCACTGCAGCTTGTCTGAAGGAACAGGAGGAGAGCGGAGCCTGGACACCTGGGTGCACATCAGGAAAGCTGAGCTGGGACGACGAAGGAGAAAGGGCCAGGTAGGGCCTCATGTAGTGCTGAAAAAACCCGCCAACCCAATCCAGTCAGTGGGAAGGAGGGGACTACACGCTCAAGAGCAAGCATGGGGGTGGCAGGGGGCAGCAAGGGAGCCACTGGGCCAACTGGCCAAAATGATTTTGTACACCAGGGGAGGGGACAACAGCGGAGTCTTTCAAAGCAGACACAGAGAGGACGGAGGAGTGCCTGGTCTCAGTAGCTGAGGGTAGAGTCGTCCCATTCTAACTGCTGCTGTCTGTTCACGTTCTGCTGATCTTCCTCTGGTTCCCCTTCTTCTTCCTCACTGCTTTCAGACTCTGCACTAGTGATATCATCTTCTTCCTCACCATCCTCACTCTCCTCCTCTTCCTCCTCCTCTTCTTCCTCTTCACTGCTGTGCTGGTCCTCATAGGTCTGACAAGGAGAAACTTAGTAAATCAGCCTTTCGTGTCTGTCCACTCCCAAGGACCACCCGGCTGCCAGTTTTACTAGGACAAAATGGAAGTGAATTCCCCTGCCAAAGCCAAAACGTGTACCTTCCCTGCAGACCCAGGCCTCAAGTGACATCACCTAATTCTTAGCTGACTAGCCAGCAAGGAGGAAAAGCGCCATTTTCTTCCCCAAATTACAAAATGGGCCCAATCTACATGCAAAGCAGAAGAGAGATGGGAAGGAAAAAAACTCACACCCATACGAGAAACAGACATGCCTCTTTGCAAACAAACAGGGCATTCTGCTAGTCAACCTGAGTCATATCTGTGTGGGTTGATCCACCCCCCCCCCCCGTGAAATCAACTGATACTATAGGACCAGTCCAGGAGGCGACATTTCCCATGGAAATTTTAGAAATGTACATGTGTTTCATAAATCATTCTCACAACTGACGTTGACAGAGAAACATAAGCAGCAGTGTGTGCTTGGAGCTTGTATCCCAAGCCCTCAGCACCAAGGTAGGCTGGTCCCTCCACCTTGAGGCTGCCTGGTGTCTCCTAGCCTACCTCCATGGGGTTCACTGTAATGGTCAAGGCAGAGTCATCCCAATCCATCTCATTCTCCTTCCCCGTGTCCTGATCACGCATAGTTCGCTGGTGTGCGGCCCGGATCCGGAACACTCCCAGGATGATCATGAAAACCAGGAAGCTGACACATACCACAATCACAACAGTTGCTGTACTGGGGACAACTAGGAAACAAAAAAGAAAAATAGGATCATTTCAAATTTAAAACAACTTGGGATAGAGAAATACCTTCTCTCTAGTGCAAAAGCAGCTACTTACTCTGGCCCCAAAGACCCCATGAAGGGGGTGAAAGGGCAGCAGAAATGCCTAAATACCCTTACCTGAAAATGGGTGGGGGTTGGCTAGATTGTGGCCAGACAGATCGACAAACGAGTGATGCACCGGGTGGACAAACTGAGGCTGGGCTGCAATGTGGTTAGCATGTTCCACCGGGTTGGCCGTGTGTATGACGCTCACCTACAAGAGAGAAAGAGGCTTTGCTATAGCCTGGGCTTCTCAGGCACAAGGAAACGGAGCCCAGGGGTCCACAGAGCCTCGTTTTCTCCTTCCCGGGAACACTGCCCCAACTCTGTTATCTCTCAGTTCAGTAAAATTCTGGCCTACAGAATAGCCACCTGTACAAAGCCAGCTGGTCATCCACTCCTAAGGGGCCTAGGCCATCTGGTAAGAAAAGTGGCTAGGTCGGCTCAGATCCCAAAAGAGGACCAACAGCCTGCTGTTCACGCTGCCCAATCAGTCCCTGTTCAGGTATCGTCGGCTTCTACAGGGTTCCCCAAAGGGCAAGAGGGTTAGTTAGCCCCGGACCTCAGACCAATCAGATGACTGATCTACACATGGCTTTCCCTCTGTGTACTTCTTCTCATGACAATATTCATACACTCATCCTCTCGCATGCCAGATCACCAGAAACCACCCGGATCCAGTCCCAAGGCCCCAGGCCCTCTGTGAGCTGCCTTTTACGCCCGCCTTCCCTCCTCTCCCAATCTATGGGCTGAGATCACCCACAGAAAGGAGGAAATGCTTGACTTGACCCAATAGGTGTGCCCTTCCACAGCCTATAAAGGAAGCCGTGAGACTCCCCTCTGGATGGCAAGTGAAGATTTAGACATTATTTCTTCAGCACCCCAAGGACTTCTGAGCTAAGTGCAGTGATCGGCATCAGGACAGAGGAAGGCCCACAGGACTGTCTGCTGACACTACCAGCCCCAAAGGTCTGGGCCCTTTTCAGATTCAACCATCACCGACACAAACCTCCACTTCAAATTCGTTGCTGACATAGCGCCCATTCAGTTCAGAACACACCAGCTTGAACTTCCTGTCCAGCACAGATGTGGAGGCATGCCAGTTGCGGTAACGCACCAGATGCAGCACCTCCTCATAGCTGGCCATGGTGTCCACACCTGGGGGTAGAAAAGTCCCTTGTCACAGCCAGGTCTGCTGGGAAGATTACGTAACATGAGGGAGCCCTATAGGAGGGCTTCCAGATGGAGGACAACAGTCATAAGCACAGAGCATGGTTAAGGTGGTCCTGACTTCTGCACATACCCGTGCACATTCTTTCTTTCTATTAGAAATTCCAGAGAGGAATTTTTCTGTATAGACTTCTCTTGACTTTCTCAAGCTCCCAGAAGCAGAATGGGGTCAGGTCAGAGAAACCGAGCAGGGTGAAGGCAGAGGAGAGGAGGAAGTCAGCGTGGCCTTCCCTGACCAGCTCGCCAGCCACCTCAGCTTTGCTTTTACCTGTAATGATGATGCCCAGGCTGGAGCTGCTCATCTCAATGCCCTTCTGCTGCAGGCGGGCCATATCCACCTCCACACTCTCTTCATCTGGCCTCAGCTCCTCGCCCAGCACTGTGATCTCACATGTGTCCAGATTGTGCATGATTTCTTCAGACACCAAGGACTCTTGAACTAAAAAAGAGAACATGTACCAGTGGGTCCCAGAAACCACTAACAGCCAACCATGGCAAGACTGGGAAGCTTGGAGGAGATCCTTGAAATGCTCATTGATTAACAAAGGCTTTTAGGAGAAACATTCAAAATAAAGAGGCCACTTCACTCAAAGTAACCTCTCTTTGCTTGGAAGGAAAGGGAGCCCAAGGCACACCAGGCCAACTTCCCCGCCCCTCCAGCCCAGACCCAGGGTTTTCCAAACTCCCCTTTAGCTCTCATGGCAGGTTACGGGGGACCTTAAAGGCTTTTCCTCACTACTTTCAAAGATAAAGAAGTAATTGGATGAAGCCACAAATACAGTGAAAAAGAACTTGAAGTAAAACATTTAAAATTCATGAGTTTAGAGAATACCCTTCTACTAACTTCATCTTCCTCCAGCCTTGCTGACAAAAATCAATTTCATTTTTGTTTTCTCTGGTGTCTGACCTCAGAGAAGCTCACCTTCCCAGAAAATGCCCTAAAACCAGACATTTCACCAGAGCTCATCAGGCTAAGATTGCCAGACCATGTGTCTCCAATGGCCTTCTCTCAATCCTCATTCTCCTTGACCTCTTTGCAGCCTTTGACACTGTTGATCCCCCTCTTCTCTTGAGGTTTTTGGGACACCCCTCTCTCTTGGTTCTCTTCCTACTTGTCTGGCTGCTGACTCCTCCTCTGGGTTATCCCCTCTAACTGTAGGGGATCCCTCAGGGCTCTGTCCTGGGCCCTCTTCTCTTCTCCCCCTACACTACTTCACTTGGTGACCTCCTCAGCTCCCGTGGATTTAATTACCTCAAACTGACCTGTCCTGCCCTAACTTCTGCGCTGACCTCCAATCTCGCATCTTAAACTGGATGTCCAGTTTGAGATCCTAAATTTATCTTAAACAGACATCTCAAATTCAACTACCACCCTCCCAGGCCCTCAGGCTCACAACCCAGGAGTCATCCCATACTCCTCACCCTCTCTGTCTCCAAGACCTATCGATTTCACCTCTGAACCATCCCTCAAAGGTACTCCTTCTCTCCCTTTACACTGCCCCCACTCTGGTGTAGATCCTCATCGCTTCACCCCTGGATCACTGCAATAGCTGCTAGTAGGTCTGCCTGCCTCAAATCTCTCCCCACTACAGTCCATCCTCCATTTGGGCACCAAAGTGATTTTCCTAAAATACAGGTCCAATCATGTCACTCCCCTAGTCAATAAACTCTCATGGCTCCCTATTACCTCCAGGAACAAATACAAAATGTCCTACTTCGCATTCAAAGCCCTTCATAATCTAGGCCCCTCCAGTCTTTTCATACCTTACTCCTCTTCAATCCAGTGACACTGGTCTCCTGGCTGTTCCACAAAACAAGACCCTCCATCTCTCAGTTCTGGGCATTCTCTCTGGCCGTTCCCCATGCCTGGAACACTCCCTCGCCTCATCTCAGCCTCAGGCTTCCTTGCCTCCATTCAAGTCCCCACTATCTTTTGTCAGACAGAGCAAAATCCTATCTTCTACAAGAAGCCTTCTGCAAACCCCAAACAGATGCCTTCGCTCTGTTAAGTATTTCCTATTTATCCTATATGTAGCTTGTTTGTACATATCTATTAGCATGTTGTTTCCCCTATTAGACTGTAAGCTCCTTGAGGGCAACGACTGTCTTTTGTCTCTTTCTGTATCCCCAACGCTTAAGCACAGAGCCTGGCGTACTGCAGATGCTTGGCATTTACTGACTAACTGAAATATTAGCAATATTATAATCTCCAGAATCCCTGAGAGATGAGCCAGAAACAGATGTGAGTGAAAGAACTAAATTCACAATTCAGTAAGGTGAGTTGTGAAAACAATTAAGAATTTCTCATGCCTATTTCCTGCTGGAGAAGGTTAGAGGCGGTAAATCTGTTACCTGTGGGATCCTCATCTCCATCTGTGTCCTGTTCTACTTCCCGGGTGATGGTACTGATGATTCGAAGCTCTGGAAACAGGGAGACTCCCTCAGCACTTTCAAATTCTGAAGCCGCCCGAGCAAAGTGGTTAATACCACTCAAGCTGATTTTGGGCTCCTCTGGCTGTAAGACCATCACATAGCCATCCACAAGAGGGATCGACATACAGGCCTCTTCATTGAAGCATCTGCAACAAGACAGAGGGCAGGGTCAGTCCAAAGTCAAATTTGTAAAATGTCTGAGATCGCTATTCCAAGGAGAATGTGACCTATCTTCTTTCAGGGGCCAAATTATATCATAGCTCCACAATCTTTTACTACTGACTTTTAATGATGACATTTTAGGGATGGAGATGGTTTCCTTGAATTTGCTTTTCTGTGCATGTGAATATGACACATTATCTTTTACTGCAAGAGGAATAGTAGGATTGCTCAAACTAAAAACATAGGTGTAATTTCATAAAAACCCCTGTAATAAGCCCTGACATTCTTCTCACTGTTAACCTGTGCCAGGCTATCCCTGTCCTCGCCACCCCACCACCATGTTCTTGTGAAAGTTAAAGACATACTTGACAGTGCTGGTGATCTGAAGCCTTCGGATTCCTGGTGTGGGGAACTGTCGAGAGTTCAAATAGGAAACGTGCTGCATGGCCTTATCAAACCGCTCCAAGTCATCTCCTTCCAAAGTCAGCACCGACCGGCTAGGGTTTGCTTGAATCTAGTCATTCCAAGAGAAGAAATAAAGGGAAAAGAGTTCTAGATGGCAAGACAGGCTGGAGGAGCAGAGAGCAGACAATGCGTAAGGGGGAAAAGGGCAAACGAGTGGAGACACCAGAAATCCAGAGGTGTTCACCAGCGGCAAGTGAGCCAATTATCTGCAGAAGTTAAAATGAATCTTTTAAAAATATTTCCCAACCTTGGTAGATGACAGAGTTAGAAGGTAAAACAGAACTATGAAGAAAGCTCTTACCTGCTCTACCACTTCAATGGAAAAGACTGTTAAAATAATAACATCACCTCCTCTCTCCCGCCATGGTCTCATTATTAATGGCAATATAGGGGAACACCACTGCCCCTCAAACCAACTTTACCTTCAAGCCTTTGCTATCAGCCCCTTGCAAATCGAGTCCTTCTTTGCAGGTGTATAGACAATCAATCACCTTCTTATTTTCCAGTTTCCCAGAGCGAATCATTAAGCCGGCCAGATTACCTCGGAAAAACTGAGCCATGTGTAGCTCCCCGCCTTTAAGAAAGGAAGAAAGGAGAAGTTAACATATCCCTACTTCCTTCGCTTTGTTTTGAACTGAAGTGTTACCAATGGAGGACAGATTACGCATGACATGCGGGTTAGTTCACAACCATTTCTGTTAGCTTTGCGGTTACACAAAAACACAATGGAGAAATTAAACAACTCATGACCATGCATATGACCTAGAGAAGGAGGAAGAAAGAAGGGGGAGGAGGACCCTGAATGGTAAGATGAGGACAAGCAAGCAGCCTTCTGGCTCCTAAGCTGCTTTCTCAGAGGACCAGGCAGCATCCTCACCTCTCCCCAAGAAAGATTCAGCCTTGGCTTTCTGAGCAATGATTTAAGATGCAATGGATTCATCTTGAGATGGAAATGAACTTTCTCGTTAGGTACTAAAGCACCTAACTCTGTTAACAATTATTTGTGAATCTCCTTTTTTGCCTTTGCCCAAACCACTCCAATGACTACAGGATCTGAGAACACAAACTAATTTTAGGATATCCTCAGCAAACCACGATGAGAAAAGTTAGAATGCTCCTAAAAACCCTCTAACTGCATTTCAGTGCAGCTGATCCAAATGCCTTTTAGCCGAGCTAACTCACACAACTCGTGCCAGCAAAGAACTGACGGACATACAGAGACCAGACACAAAGGATCACAGAATGAAAGAGGATATCAGATCCCTGAAGTCCTAACCAAGGTAAAAGAGGCCTTGTCCCTAAATTGGTCAGGAGCCAGAAAGAGGTTTTCAGAAGCATCCTTCATTTCCAGATTAGGCTACAGTAAGCCAGTTATCCTGAGCATCCAAGAAAGCTCTATGCTCACCACTCAGTCCTAAGGATAACCACCACACTGAGAAATGAATCATGCCTGAAAAACCTGGAAACCAAAAGCAGAGCTCAATCCAACCAGGAGGGGTAGGCTTTGCTTTATTTCAAGGCTGGGCCCTGCAGGAGGAGGAGGTGATCCCCAAACCTGCCCTTGGGGATTTCAGAAGGCCACATGCAATGGGACACAAATAAAGCTCGATGGGAGATGCCACCATTAGTGCTGTGTATTAATGAACCTCTTCTCTCACATCGCTGGGATCCGAATGAAGTCTGGGCACCTGTGAAAGGGCAAAAATGAGAGTCCAGAGAAGCTGTGAGCATGATGCAGAGACCAGCCCAGAAGCAGCTCATGTGGTATCTGTGGCCAAAATGCAACTCTGACATTTCATGCAAATGTGGAATGAGGTGGTTGTCTTGTCTTTGAAAGGGAAATAAGATAGAAAACAGTAGGAAAGAAACTCCAGCAACCTGCAGAGGTCACAGTCACTGCCTCCGTCTCAGTCTCATTGTCATTTTCATTTCCTGAATACTCTGTAGAAAAGCAAGACAAAGACAGCGGAGAAGGACCAACAGGTTAGGATCTTCCAATTGGGCCCTGGCAGCAGACTCCCAGCCCCACAGAAATGCCATCCCCCTCGGCCCACAGGACCTAACCCTCTACCACCAGACACGTTCAGAATGGGATGGGGGCCAAAGCCCTGGAACAACAACATGAGGAAGAACTGCCCGAGAATTTATAAAGTGGTTGATACTCATGATCTCCTTCAGCAAGGCCCACTCCAGGAAACGGGGCTGGGCAGGCAATGACCTGCCCAACGTGATGCTGCTGTGAAAGGGCAGGGTCTTCCCACATCAGTGGCCACACCTCCCACCATGACACTGACACTGAGCCCTACAGTGCTTCCAGTGGACCACCTCTACTCACTGCGGCCCCTTTGTCAAACTCCAAAGAGGACAAAGAAGGGCGCATGTGCCAAACTCTGGGCCCCCCTTCAGTCTGGATCACCAAGGAGGAACGTTCACTGAAGCTCAATATCGACACATTTCATGAGAAAAACAGCACACCCCATATTACAGAGAGCTCTTTAACATTTTTTACTGATAACTTTTAACATTATCTTCCTTTTTGGACACATCCCTCTTCCCACCCAGCAAGCCATCCCTTAGAAAAAGGAATAAAAAGAGGAAAAAAAGTAGTTCAGCAAAGCTGATTAACACACTTGCCGTTATAGACAATCCGTCTGCCAACGGAGGAAGCCTCCCCACCACCCGGCCCCTTATCCTTTAAACATGCAATAGCATGGTGACTCCATGACTCCATTTACCTCCACACAAGCACCAGGAGCCAGGGCTATGCCCACCCTCCATGCAGGAAGACCCTGTGGCTGTACTACAGAGGACCCAGAGGTGACCTTCGCAGGCCGGTGAGCAAGTGCTCGAAGGGAGGAGCCGGGGCCAAGCAACCTACACCCGGCAGAGTACATCCACTGCCTCTAGAAGACCAGAGAGACCCAAGCTCTTCTTTTTTCAGCTAACATCCGGGGCAAGTTCTCAAAAAGCAAAAACTGGACAGCTCAATGGCACAATGACCAGGGTGCTGAACTGGTGCTCTGGAAGACTGAAATAAAATACCATCTCAGACACCAACTAAACTGTGTGACTCTGGGGAAAACCACTTCACCTGTGTTGGCCTCAGTTTCCTCATCTATACACCAGGGATAGCAACCACCTAGGTTGTGGGGAAGAAAGATGAGACATTTGTAAAGTGCTCTGCCAGCCTTCCGCCATCGTGACTATGCAGTACATATGGCTATGCCAATGGTGGGGACCAGGGCTCCGCAGGTCCCGGGGTGTGGACGTGAGGATGCAAGCACAAAGTCATTCTACTCCATCACTGGTCTGCAGGGATTGAAGCTGTTCAGACTGTGGTGGGGAATCCCTCAGGACTGACCACAGCTGAGGGCAAACGGAGGGGCCAGGAGTATGGTTCACTAGCTGTACCTCATTCCTTCTCCTTCTCCTCCTTCTTCAACAACGCCAATGTGCTGGTTTGGTGAGGGGTCACGGAAGGGAGGTGAGCTTTTCTTAAAGCCAATATAAACAGATTCTTTACAGCCTCATTTTCTCACTAAGATCTAGTTCCATAATTTGAAATCTTATTATCTATAGTGTTTCAACTGATTTTTTTTGCTGTAGAAATGGAATACTTGCTTGAAGCCTGAGTTATTTATAGACTGTCTTTGGTACTTCTGACCTTGAGGCTTGAGTTACTGAGATGAGATGTGCTCCTGCCTAAGTCTGGTTCTAGCTCACATTCAGATTTAATGAAGTGCTGGCTGGGACAGAGGTAACCCCTACCCCCACGAGGTCTCTTGGAAAGCAAATCAAGGCTGAAAAATTCCATCATGGGATGGATAATTCTCTGCTTTCTTCCCAGCTCACCTCCAAGCCTCCTCCTGTGGCTGATCTCCACCCCCACCCCATTAGTCTCTGACCCCCAAGGGCCTTGATTTTTACTTCACACATATTTCTTACGTACTTGTATACATGCTGCCCCCCACTTCCCCTCCGAGAGCAGAGCCTGGGTCTCTATTAAGCACCTGCTGCCTGTTATAAAGGGCTCTTATACAGCCCAGACTGGAGGGCACTGGGATGGGGGTGGGGGGTTCTGCCTCACCTGAAATGCTAACGCGCCTCTGAGTTCTGGTAAAACATAATACAAGCTTTTAAACACACCTCTGCACTAGACTCTGTCTCCTTGTGGCAAGATTTTTAAGTGAATTCTTGAAATTGTATTTTTGGAAACAGGCAACGACTGCCCCTGTTCTTACTCCTCAACGGCAGGAGCTCTGAAGGCAAGGCTGAGCCCCTCCACAGGGCCTGCTCAGCACTAGGGCTGCTGAAGAAACAGACCTGGCAGCATCCCTGTGTTCTGGAAGGATGGCTGGACGGAGAGAAGAGGGTAGAAGGGGAAGCAGGGTTTGGGACTAATTAATGTTTGACTGCAGAATGGCCATTCCCTGGAGAGGTACCCCAAAGCACTTCCTGTTCTGGGTTCTTACTCCTGGTAAGTTCATTATAATCAGATCAACAAAGAAATCTTACACTACATGGGCTGTCGGGGCGGGGGGAAGCTTTGTTACTCAGAACCCTTCCTGATAATAAGATTTAACACCTACAGACTCTTAGAGAAGAGATCTAAAGAATGTTTTTGAAGGAGGAAAGGAGACTTGAATAGAAAGTGATTTTTTTTCTTTAAACTATAAATAATGCTAGCATCTACACATCAGCATTCCTTTTCATGTTCTATTTTTTTCAAAAATTTTGCTAAATTGCCTCACCAAAATGCAAAGTGTGAATCACCTGAAAAGAAGTACTGTGAATAAGCTATAAATGCCTGACTTGCTTATAATTAACAGCCATGTATTTCTTGCTCTTCCCAACTTGTGACACTCATAAGGAAGATTAGTCAAATCCAAATTTGGACAAAATCTGCTCTGTGGCTTAGGGTCTTTCATGAGTTTCTAACGCAGGACAAAGGGTTCTTAAAGGGAAAGGCTGCATTCAAACCTACAGTCGATATTATCTGTCGTTGTTCAGTCATTTCAGTCATGTCCGACTGTTTGTGACCTCATTTGGGATTTTCTTGGCGAAGATACTGGGTGGTTTGCCATTTCCTTCTCCAGTTCATTTTAAAGATGAGGAAACTGAAGCAGATAAGATGAAGTGACTTGCCCAGGGTCACATAGCTAGTAAGTATCTGAGGCCAGATTTGGACTTGGGAAGATGAGACTTCCTCCGTCCAGGCTCAGTGCTCAATCCACTGCGCCACCTAGCTGCCCCAGCTGACATTATTCAAATTTCTTTTTTCCTAAAATTCACAATTCTAATTTCCAAATCCATTAAATTTCTGGAGATCGGAATTTCAGGCCTCTCAGTCTGCACTCCCTTTTCTGAAGTGTCTATTAAATCCCACCCAAGTTTTATTGTGCTTATAAAGTAAAGAAGTTGCTTCTTATACGAGCAGCTGAGTGCTTAGCATTTACTTTAGAAGAGAACACCTTTCCCCTGCTGCAGTCCTACAAATGAACCATTATGCACAATGTTATCCAGTGCACAGACCTGGGACATCAGCTAGGGAGGGATCCTCTCCTAACAGAATAATACTTGTGAAGAAGGGGCCCAGCAATCACCTGTCCCCTGAAAAAGCTTGACTGCTTGCATGAGATGAGCAAATTCTTGCGCCCACTTCTTTATTCAGTGCTTATAAACCGCTTTTTGCAATTTTTCCTCTTAGGACCCAGATGCACAAAGAGGACTATCATTTTATAAGAGAAACCACACCAAACATGAAAAGTAAGGCACTACTGTGCCCCATCAGCACAGAGCCACAGTAAAGATCGTTACACTGAAAAGGGGTCTCAAGACATGGGAAATCATGACAGAGAAAGCTGCCCACCACCTTCCACCATGGCCCACCTTCCACCATCGTAGTAAAATGTCTTCTTTCATTCAATTCACAAGATGATGGGGTCCTCTACCTTACCTTGCCAACACGCTCCAACCACCAACTGAGTTTCTATCTTGGAAGGGTGAAGAGGATAATCTTCAGTCACTGGAAAGGGATCATAGGAAACACCATCGACATACAGAGTCACACTGGGGAACTCCACATTGAGAACGTAATGGTGCCATTCCTTATCACACACCTAAGAGAGGCAAAGGAAAGAATACAGAATGTGGTGGTGGTCTAACACATCTATCTAAGGATATAAATCTAGAAGATTAAGGTAAACATGGGAGACAAAGGGGAAGGTGCAAAAACTAACAGGTCAGCGCTTTTCAAGGGAAATTAGTCATAAAAAGTTTGACAAAAGCCAACACTGGACAGGTCTCCCTTCTGAGCCCCAGCCCAACACCACCAACTATCCAATGGAAATTCCAAACTGGATGCCCCACAGGCAATGCCAACATGTCCAAAACAGAACTCCCCTTTTCGGCTAAGACCTCCCCTTCTTCTGAACCTCCTTATTTCTGCCCAGTGCCTCCCAACATTCCAGTTACAGATCGGCACCTTGGAGTCACCCTCAATGCCTCGTTTCCCCCCTCACTCTGGCTATCTAATCATCTGCCAAGTCCTGATGAACTGATGGCAACTGCATCTTCTCACCCCCAAGACTATTCACAGAGCCACTAACTTAGTGAAACCTCTCTCACTCCTTGGCTGGACCAATCCAACAGCCCGAGGCACTCTCTGGGCTCCCTGCCTCATTTTCTCTCATAGCTGCCAGAATGATTTTCCTAAAGTACAAGTCTAGCCTGTGGGTCACTCTCCTGCTCAATAACCCCAAATGGCTCTTTATCACTCCTGGGTTCAAATAGAAACTCCTCTTTTTTGACATTTACAGGCCTTCACAACCTGGTTCCAACTACCTTTGCAGGATTATAATAAATACATTACTCCCCTTCACACACTCTCAGGTCCAGCTGACTGGCTCTGCTTGTCACACACAACACCACCTCTGCCATCTGCACAGACTCTTCCAAGACTGGGATGGATTCTCAACTCGGCTCTGCCCCTCAGAATTCCTGGTCTCCTTCAAAGCTTAGCCAATACATTCAGGAGGCTCTTCTGGACTCCCCCACCCCAGATGCCAGGGTTCTGCCTCAAAATCACATTGCATTTATTCTGCAGACGCTCCTACGTGTACATACCTCCCACGATGGAACGTGAGCTTCTTACGGCCATATTTTTCATATTTGAAAAAAGTGAAAGACTAGAAAAGTATGCCACTCTCTGTTACTCATGTCCTCATGGCTTAAGGGCCTTATGCCTTACATCATGACAAAGTCTGATTTTATTTATTTGTTCAACAAATAGAGCTTATATATACAAATCTTTTAACAAATAAATTAGGTTCACTAAATAGTAAACTCCAGCTAGGCATAAGGCATAGTGAAGCATTGAGACAAAAAGGTTTAGGTTTAAAGGACAAATAAATGTTGAATTTATTGAATTCATTTTTAGGTTGGTAAAAATATAGAGTGATGGTAGAAAACCTCAGAACGCTCGACAGAGACAGACCCCAACCCACTACTAAGAGACAGGGAAGGACGCCATGAAGGCACACACAAGATGAAGATGCATTCAGAAGGAGGGAAACAAGCAGAAGCAGCAGCCGCCTCCTCTTTGGAGTTCTGAGGGACAGCTACTGAAGACTGAGAGTCATGCTGTGCTCCACAGCAGCTATAGGCATCTATGTGAATATTATTTCTTGGAATTTCCCCCCTGGGTCAAAGCTGGTGGTCATGGGGCAAACAAGCCAAGGGCCAGAGGTTTCCCACCTCTGTCACAGAGCAAGCGAAGAAGTCGTTTTTGAGTATCTTTAAGAGAGAAATCTCCTGACTTCAAAAAAAAAATCTTAAAATAATAAAGAACATTTTCCCTTTGAAGAAAAATAGCAGTTCCTCACTATTTCCTTTCAAAAGCAAATCTCTATTACCTCACAACTACTCTCTCTCAGATCATAAATTATTTAAAGGAGGAACCACATCTCATTCACCCTTGTATCCCCACCTCCATGCCACACACTGCCATGTTCAAGAAATACCTATTATACTGAAATCTTATTTAAATCTAAATTTAATCTAAATTTAAAATATGGTTCAGCCAAACTGACTGATTTATGTTTGTAAGGAAGTCAGATGAGCAGCCTACATTCCTGTCTTGAATCAGCTCTAACAGCAAAGTAAACAGACCACCTAGTAGCAAGAGGGCTTATTAATTTAAATGACACTAATTTCTCATGCTAATGCCATTTATACCAAACACAGGTGCTATAAATAATGGCAGAAAAAATGATTTTGAGAGCCAAGGGATTGAGTAGGCCTTAATCTGCTATCTTGGTACCTGCTGTGACCCTACAGACCCCAACACCATGAGCACAGGTTCAATGCAAAACAAGAAACACAGAGGAACAGCATCTAGAATCCCAGGGAAGAACCAGTTACCTCTCCAGCCACTCACCTGGTACAATTCCTCCCTCTTCTCAGTTTTGTCGGCCACATTTTTTATACTGAATGCTTATTAGGAATTTAATATTAGGTATCAATACAACTAAACTTGTTTAGTAACTCTTTACATTTAAATTATTCAATACATAAAGCTATCATAACACTTTTAAAGTCTAAAACTAAAAAACAGATTTAGAAAATATTTAAAGCATATTTTACAGATAAAAACTTGTGATCTAAAATATATAAGGAGGAAGAGGAAGGAAGGAAGGAAGGAAGGAAGGAAGGAAGAAAGGAAGGCAGGCACAGTGAACTCCCAATGCACAATGGATAAATGGGCAAAAGCTACAAACACTTTCCAAAAGAAGCAGCACAAACTATAAATAATAACTTTTAAAAACACCCAACCTCAATAATAATCAAAGAGACACAAAGTAAAACAAGTCTGAGGTACCACTTTATACCCATTAACTCGGTAAAAAAAATAATTAGAAACAACAGAACTCAATCCTGGAGGGATCGTACAGAAAAGTTAAGCACATTTATCCAGAGCTGATGGAGATATTATCAACCTGTAGACTCTCTTGGGGAGGCAGTCTGATGGTTTACAGTAAGAGTTATAAAAATACTTATTCCTGTTGACTCAATAACTTCATTGTTCAGAATATATCCTGGAAATGTTACAGCCACTTGGATGTCCAGCAACAAGGGGGTGATTGAGCGGACTGGTACGTTTACCATAACAGACCTATATTAACCCAACAAGCATTTGCTGGATTTGTGTGTCCCACGTGTCCAGCACTGTGCTAGGTACTAGGGGTATGATGACAAAAATGAAACGGCTGCTGCCCAGAAGCAGATTACTGTCCCCCGGGGAGAAACATCATGCACACAGATAACATATGAAATATATAAGTAAACACAAGTTTTTTTTAAGAGGTGGAGGGGGGTTAACACCAACAACTTGTGATATCAAAAGTCCTTCTGTAGGAAGCAACTCCAGAGCTACACCGTTAAGACATGATAATTAAGACAGAAAATGAGGAGGAAGAAAGCTAAGTCAAATCTCTAAAAGCAGAACAAGAATGGAATATAGGCTAACTGCAATCATGTGAATCAGTGAACAAAAACCAAAGCACAGAGAATCACCTGGTTCAATTTCCAGTGAAATTCAGCAGGTTTGTAACTCTTCTCCTCCAAAGGGTCTTGACGGAAGAGAAAAACCAGTCGGCAATTGTGTACGTAGAGGGAATAATGGTGCCGGTTCATATCTGTAAAAAGTTTTAAGTAATATGCAATACATTTAATATTCAAACCCAAAAATAAGATACTTCTCAAAGCTGATTTTTAAAACGCTCTTTCTCCCACCGGAATGAACTCAGCCACGCACTAGTGCTGCAGGGGTGTCAAATTCAAACAGAGATGGACATCTCAACAACCTTTGGGGCAGCTGTGTGTTGATATTACCTACATACTATCGTGTTTTTGTTTATTTTGTAAAATACTTCCCAATTGCATGGGGTGGCCTACAAGTCACACGTCTGACCCCTTTGAATGAGAGAATGTTTAACAGTAAATACAGCAGATCTTTACTAGAGACTAGTGTACACAAAGGGAAACCGACAAGAAACATGAGCAATATCTCTTAAGAATAACCACAAAGTGTCACGAGGGTGGACAAGTGACAAGAAAGGAATAATAACCCTGTATCATTAACTCCCTCCAGGATAAGTGTAAATTTTTTTTTAAATGGAAGACAAAAAAGCTATTTTCAGTTCTGAGAGGAGGAAGAAGCCAAATAAAACTAAAATATAGAAGGTATCAACATAAAATTAACATAGTACAACTACCAACACCTACTTACATGTTTGGTGACATCAGCACTCAAAGAAAATGCAAAAGCAACCATTTTAAAAAGCGTATTCCATAGAAATTCTCCCAGCCCATCTAATTGGTTCTGGGTCATTTTGGGTCATGAGGAATGAAGTTCTAAGCAAACAATCTGCCTTTCTCCAGCTACCTGCTTCCCAAAGGAATAATAGTAGGTGCTGAGCAGGGCTATGTGTCCTTTTCCAATCACTTCCTGAATTTCAGTATCACTATTTTTTAGTAAAGGAGAAATGAACTAGCCTTATGACATGCCACATACGATGAATATTCTTTAAAAATTCATTTCACAAGATGTATTACTACTTTGCTAAGTAGTAGGTAACCTGTGTCCCTTCTTTTTGATCAGAAGCAGCGTCCAAGCTACTGCTGACCCTCTTGCTTTAGTTAATTCTGTTCAAACTTGGTATTATTAATGGTAAAATCGAAGGGTCTCTATTTCTTTTGACTCAAAATGCATCAAAAAGCCTCACAGCTCATTTCATTATGCAAAATCCCATTCTTAGCACGATGAACAAATTCGTTACTCTGGATGGCAAATGTGAAAATTCTCATGTTATAATAGGGCAGCAATTAGCGAAACAGATAACAGGGTTTCCCTGCACAAGATGCAAAAGGGTTGCAACATTTATAAAAACTAACACTACTGAGGGGGCAGCTGGGTGGCGCAGTGGACACAGTGCCAGGCTTGGCAGTCAGGAAGACCCGAGTACAAATCCAGCCTCCACTACTTACCATGTCACCCTGAGCCAGTCACTTCACTTTTGTTTGCCTCAGTTTCCTCATCTGTAAATTAGGATAATAATCACACCTACCTCCAAGGCAAGGCTGTTGTTGAGAATAATGATTGTAAAGCACTTACACAGTGCCTGGTACGCAGCAGGCATATAATAGATAAATATATTACATATATTACATATGTAATGCAAATGTTAAATAAAGTTAACTATCATTATTGTCACATGTTACAGTATATAAATGTTTGTAGCTGTTATTGTTGTTGTTAGTGTGTTACTCCCAGGACACTAGCATAGCTCTACCACAGAGATTAGACTTTTTCTTCCAGAAGCAAATCTCCATGCTACATAAATGTCTTTAATACTACAAAGACAACTAGCATTAAATCCACTGGAGATAGTTCTAGGGAGCAGTTTCTCCAATAAGAGTCAAATCATTGTGCTATAAATCATATCAAGCACTGTTACAACAGAATAAGATGCATCCTAAATGGAAAGACTGTACTAAAACCCCAAACTTTGTTTCTTTCTAAGAAGCAGCAGCTCTGAATAGCTAAGCCACAAGATGTCTGGAATGGTTTTGACCTTGACTTTGGGGGCTTTCATTCCAACAGCTGCAAAGGAAACAGTAACATTCAGAGTTGTGCTTGCTGACACAGGTACGCTGCAAAAGCCTGTTCAGAATTAGGCTCTCTGACCCTCCTGGTGGTTTGCTTTCCATCTGCAGTCCAGGGTTCAGTGGCCCTGGCTGGTCAGTCTACAGTCTAGTTTATACTATTTTATTTGAATACCACAAAACGAGGGCAAACACACACTCCAGACATCAAATCTAGTGGACGTCAATGGGATCATTTCTCTGGTAAGCTACAAATATGTTTAAGGTGATGGAAAGAGTACCGCTGCTGATCTCAGCATGCACTCACCTGTCTTATCTGAATTACAAAGAATGGTTTCCTTCTCCCTGCCCCCAGGCCCATGCCTCATCCACACGGAGATCATAAATGGCTCTTTCACATTTACTGTCACGACGCCCTCTGGAATCTTCACGGCTTGGGTGCCATTAAATTCAAAGACCTGGTCACTGTCATGGCCATTATCGGGTGGGGAGGCCCACGGTCCAGTTCAAGGCGCTGCTTGGAGGAGGAAGAAGTTCAGCAGTTCCAGAGGATGCACCTAAAAATTTAAAAAAAAAAAGCCCCACCAATAAAAACAGAACTCAGAGATGTAAGATCTTTCCAAACCACCCAAAATTCATTTTCACATGTCTATCCTAACCCTGTAGTAGAAGAACCTGCACTCATCTATTCTAAAAAATCTGTTGAGAAGGCAGGCTGACAAGTTGCCCCGACCCCAACTCTGGCCCAGAGGACCCTGGGAAGCAGGTCGCATCCCAGTGAAGAACTCTCAATGACGCACGTGCAGCAAGTCCTCACCGGATTACTCTCTAAATCTACATACACCCAACACATTCCAGGAAGGCTCATCCCACACCCTAACTAATCCAGGTGGGAAAAGTCACATGGTCTCTCCTCCTGACTCATTCCCACATAAAAAAAAAAAGATGGAAGCACATTAAACCTGTCAGTCAGTCAGCAAGTATTTGGCCCCCGAGGACACAAATACCAGGAATGAAATAATCCTCCTCTTGAGGGTCTTAGATTTGATAGGACAAGGATATATACAGAATTAGGAGCTCAATGGCCCCCAGCTGCTGCTGCCTCTCTCAAGTCAACGAGCATTTATTAAGCACTTACTATGTGCCAAGCACAGGGTCAGTGAGAGAACAGAACAAGGGGGTGCAGATTTTTCCCAGAAAACCTTGAGGAGAAGGCTTCGAGTTTCCTGACCCTGAAGAAAACAGGCCTTCTCACCCTGGACAATGGCCCACCTCTGCAGCCCTCTCCTCCAACTGGGGAAGTCCTCTTGGAAGCTCCATTTCGAAGATGAGTCCAGGCCAGCCACGCATGCCCTTTTGTTCCTCTCCTGGCTGGGCTCCTGACCCTCCAGACTTCTCCACCACAACCCTGGGCAGGTCCCTACGCCCTGCACCCCTTCACAGTTCCTCCCCTATTAGGGGAACTGCTTGCGGACGGGGACTGTCTTTTTGTTTCTAATCATATCCCCAGGCCTTAGCACAGAAGCTGGCATACAGTAAGGGCTTAACGAATGCTGGCTGACCCACCCTCAAAGCCTTCTCACCAGCCCTTCCCACTGGGGAGGAGCCCGCGCTAGCCATCCTTCTGGTCCCTGACAGCTCTGCCCCTGGCTCTTCCTCACGCTGTCACCCCCCTTTAGAGGGCGAGCTCCTGGAGAACAAGCACTACCCTGCTCTGGGCTGTTATTTGTGGTCCCAGTGCTTGGCACAGTGCCTGGCATGCAGTGAGTGCTTAATAAACGCCCGTCATCCACCTGCCTGGGAGGTCTACTCCATCCACCTCTATCTCCCAATTTGGATCCTGGGGGCATGTATCTCCCCACCCCTCCCCCACCCCCGGTCATTCTCCTGCAAGGAATTCTGCACCTGGCTCACTGTCTTCCTCTCCACCCCAACCTTTATGCTCATCCCTGAGGACTTCACTAGCTATGACTGTCCCCACGCCCACGAGCCGCATCTTCACTCCACGGCAGCGACAAATAGGGCAGGTCACAGCCTTGATCTGTCACCTCTCATGAATTCCTCTCTCACACTAGAACCTCCTATCCTCCCGTCCCTTCTTTTTAAACCTATTTTTTGATATCCTCTGAACCTCACCGGTTTGATTTTACAGACTTGACCCTAGAGGCTGCCTTCACCTCCCCCAATCTACACTAGCTGCCTGGCTGGCACCCTCCCCTCAACTGCTTTTCAATCCCTCTTTTCCTTGAAGGGAGGGACTATGGAAGCATATTATGAAAATAAAAATAAAAATGTTGTAAAAGATTTCCATCTAAAGCCCTTTCCAAAATCCTTGAGAAAGGTGGTTGGTCATTGTCCTTAGGTCTCGAAGAAGACCGGAACGCCATCACTGCTAGAGTCAAGGCACAGTGTGTCCAACTGTGGCTGATCAGACCAATACGAGCTCAGCAGGCTCTACCACAGGTCGGGCACAAAGAGTCTGTGGGAACATTGGGGGTGAACTGTCTAAATCCGTGCATCCTGGGTTTCCTTCGAGCTGTTTCAATTCTGCTTTGCTCACAGAGCACAGCACCTTCTCTGAGGTGGGCATGCCGCACTGAGCGGGCCTATACCAGTGTTTCCCATGACAGGATTTTCTTGGGGAAATGTATTAGGGCGAGTACTTTAAGACCAAGGAACTGCATGCAGTCTGGCTCACATCTGTCAAGAAAGGACTAAAATATCAACTGGGAAGTGGAGGGGAAAGAAAATGTCCCTCGAGTAAGGGGATAGTCCAGGAGGCATAGGGGAGGAACCTGGGTAATCAATCCTTGACTATCAACCCAAGCTGAATTTTAACATTCCTATACACGTTATTTGAAATTTTGGGGAACAGTTGCAGGAGGCCATGGGGGAGGCCTATGTCAGTCTCAATATCTCTCTCTTCAAGCCAGAAATCATCTGGATATATATTCATAATAAACTGAAAGACAAGCTGAAATCACATAGTACAGTATTAATAGTTTCACCTTTTTTTTTGACAAGATAGTCTTTCTTATTTTCATATCCCCACCGCATAGCATGGTGACTGGCACACGACAAGCACTTCATTAATGCTTTATCTATATTATCTAACCTACTGAGTGCAAACCCTTCAGTTTACAGATGGGGAAACTGAGGTCAGAGGGATTAATGACTGGTCACACAGCTAGTAAGTGTTTAAGGCAGATGGGGCTCTAGGGTCCTGACTCAGACCAGAGCTCCATGAATATACCATGTACCTGGGGTGGCAAACCTGCGGCCTCCAGGCCACATGGGGCCTTCTAACGTCCTTGGGTGCGGCCTTTTGACCGAGTCCAAGTTGTTCAGGTTTTGGGTTTTTTTTAAGGCAATTGGGCTTAAGTGACTTGCCCAGGGTCACACAGCTAGTAAGTGTCATGTGTTTGGTCTGAAGCCAGATTTGAACTCAGGTCCTCCTGACTTCATGGCTGGTGCTTTATCCAACTGCACCACCTAGCTGCCCCCTGAGTCCAAGTTTTACAGAACAAATCCTTTTATTAAGGGGATTTATTCTGTGAAGTCTGAATTCAAAGGCCACATGTGGCCTGGAGGCTGCAGGCTCCCCACCCCTGCCATGTACTATGTAGCTGCTTCAGTCTCTAGCTGCTTCATTCTTCCCCCTATTTTACAGATAAAGAAATCAAGCCACAGAGAAGTTAAATGATCTACCAAAGTTACTAAGTGGCAGAGGCAGAATCTGGAACTACATTTTGCCAAGCCTGGCCTCTCTCTATGAAATCACCTCCCAACACAGTGAAGATGACCTTCAAAAGCCCTGTCTTTCTCGCCCTTACTTTGCTAAATTAGCAAAATGATTTTAAAACACAATTCCCTGTCAGGCCTTATATCAATGTGCAAAGAAAGCGCATTCTGATTCCCATGAAAAAATGACAAGCAGGAAAGCACCAGGCAGGGCAGGAAGAGGCTGCTAGCCACCCTAGAGCAGAGCTGCAGGAACTCGCTTACCGCAAAGCCGGTGGAGGGACTTCTCTGAGTACGTGTCCCGATCACAGCCTTTGCCTATGTGGCTGGTTTCTAGCTCCACTGTCGCTTGGATGGAGGTGATGGCTTCATCACAAGTTTCCAAATGGATGGTGGGGAAAAGAGCCAAAGACCCAGTACCAGGTTCATACTCAATCCTCTTGTTCCATCCTGCACAAATTGGGGTAGGGAGGAGAGGAAAGATTTGGGGCAAAAAAACCCCACATTATGGGCTTGTGATTAGACATTTCTGAGTGCAGGCAGACACAAAACACAGACAGTGACAGAAGAGTAAAGGGCCAAACAGACCTTGCCAGCCAGGCCTGCATGTGGGTCTAATGCTAATCTTGACCAACACGTCCTCCGTAGCTCTTTTCTTCCCACAGTCATACGCCGTAACGGTCAACTTATACTGAGGCTCTTTCCCATAGCTCAGCTTCTCGGTGTTTTTTATATAACCTGGCAAGAGGAGAAAACCAAGCAGTCAGAGCAAAAAACTACTCAGCTTTTCACTTCAGCTGTCCTGTGCCAAAACACCAAGCTATATGGGTTCATAAGACACAACCATATTTTTGAGATAATTAACCCTCAATTTAATTTAGATAAACTTTGAATATACATTAGACAGCAAATCAACTTTTAAGAAATGATTAAGGAGATCAGATAAGTACACAGAAGCAACAGCAAATTTATCACTCTGTATTGTTATGGTCTTTTACTTGGGTTTATATTTACACAAAGATGTAAGAATCTACACACAAGGAGAAACCACTCTGTATAAATTTAAGCATTTTTAAAATGATGTAACATACCAGTATTTCTTGCTAAAAGGTTCACTTTGTTAAGAAGTTTTCAAAGATTACTAAGTTTTTTCCCTAAAGGAGAAGTATATCTAGTACTAGTTTCCAGGTTCAGACTTCTCCAAGTTCTTAAAAATCATCTTTGGTGTCCCCAAAAGGGCATGATCATATAAAAAGAAAGTTCTGTAATGAATTTAAATTTAACCCTGTTGAACTGCAAAGGCCTCAGTCCCCAATCTGCCTAGAACCAGCAGAAGCTTTCCAATTCCAGGGTGCAGGGTGAAGTGGGAATGGTAGCTGTACAGTAGTAGAACTACCCTCCAAAGGCAACCTTATTCATTCATATTGGCAAAAAGGTGGAAGTCTAACATGAAAATAGGTTCAATATGAATGTATATGTAGAGCCTATAGCAGATTACACACTATCTTGGGGTGGTGGGAGGGGAGAGATGGAAAGAAATTTTGGAATTCAAAATCTTATGAAAGTGAATGTTGAAAACTAAAAATAAATAAAATTTTTTTAAAAAAAGATGGAAGTCTGAGAAATGAAGAAGAAAATTAAATGGCTTTTTTTTTAGCCAAGAAAAAAAAGAGGACCTCATGAGACAATAGAAGAATTCCAAATTTCCAAGAAGAAATGGGAGAAGACTAGAGTTAAAATGTGAAACAAAATGTAAAGATTACAGATTGAGTCCCCAAGCTGTGATCAACACCAACATTTTACAAAGCTGCCCAGTCTAAAGATTTGTTTGAAACTGGACAACTCAGGAGCAAACTATCTCCCAAGAAAGTGCTGGGTCCGACTCAGAAAACTGGTTTCAGTTTGCTTCCTTTTCCTTACCATCCTTGTCAACAATGAAGGGCACATCTGGAGTCACAATTTCATAGCTGCAGATCTGGCTGAACTGAGGGGAACAGTCTGCATCTACTGCTTCCACTTTTAAAATGTTGTCATATTTCTTCCCTTCAATCACCGTAGCTTTGTAGGATTTTTCTTTAAATATAGGGGCATATTCATTCACATCATTCACCTGAATATGTACTGTTGCTCTGATAAAGGGAAAAAAGAAAAACAAAAATATCAAACACAGTGTTATTAAAATACATCTTCAGCTTCTATTAGATTAACCTCAAAGATGTCATTTCTCCTGTTTGTACGTTTCCTTCTAAAACCTAATGCCTTCTTTTGCTCAATATATGCAACTGCATACATACTATAAAATGTAAGTTCTCTTAAGGGACTTGTGTTTTTGTTCATTTCCGAATTTACCTAGTAAATAGCTCTGCACACAATAGGCACTTAATATTTGCTGAATTAATATGAAGATAAAACAAAGCAATCATTAAGTTATTCTAATTCTGAATTAAAAGTAAACTCAGATAAAGGGGTTTAGGGGTTGTTGCTTTTTTTTTTTAATCAAAATGGAATCTCTGCTCCTCAGATTAAACCAGATGGTTTAAAAAAAACACCACTGTTCTTTTCTTTGAAGTGTGATAATGTGGGAGGGAGATCAGAATACACAGAAGGGAAAATAAAGAAGAAGAAGAAGATAGCTGATTAGACATCTCATCATAAACTCTTAAGAGTAAAAGGATAGTCAACTTGATGGGCACCCACACACAAATACAGATCAAACGAGGAAGAAATCAAGAGGAGACAAAAAGCATGCAAAGCTTTGGTTTTGCTTGTAGCTGCTTTACAAAGTGCTGTTTCTGTGCTGGGTGTGAGGACTACCATGAGCATGATTCCCCAGGAGGGCATCTGGGCCTTCCCTAGAATGCCCTCTCCCAGAGGGGCCCCTCCAGGCCATTCTGACTTCTTCTGGCTCTGCCACGTGGCATACAAATGAATAAGCAAAACCATCACTGGCTTTTTAAAGCAAACACTGCCTATACGGTCACTCCTCCTTCTTTTACAAAAACTGCCTTGTCCATGCCCTTTTAAACTATAAGTGTTGATGAGAGGAGAAGGAATTGCCATTGGTGATGTCCATCTGCCTTCCAAACTTTCTGATAACCATGAAAATGTCATCTAACAGGAGGATTTTATTTATGTATGTATGTATTTATTTATTTTTAGGCAATTGTGGTTAAATGACTTGCCCAGGGTCACACAGCTAGTAAGTGTCAAGTGTTTGGTCTGAGGCCGAATCTGAACTCAGGTCCTCCTGACTTCAGGGCCAGCGCTCTACCCACTGCGCCACTTAGCTGCCCCAGGAGGATTTGGTTTAAAAGAGAATTCTGGAGCAAATGAAAACTAAAAGCTTTAAAAAAAGAAAATTCAAATGTAGAATTCAAGGATTACTAATCAATGAAGGCTAAGTAAGCACCGATAAGAATTCCTGCCAACACAGGATGCTATATGGTAAAGTAAAACTAGCCACATCCAAAATGGGGGAGAAAAGATGGAAAATGCTTTTGCATCCTCACAACTCAACGAGATAGGCAAGAAAGGTATTTTCGCTATTTTTTTTTTACAAACAAGGAAACTGAAGCACAAGTTTCTAGTCTTCTTTCTCATTCTTCTTCTTCTTCTTCACACTCTAGATTCCAGCCCTTGGCAACTACCAGCTGTCCATGAAATCACCCCACACTCTGTCAGCTCCCAGCATTGGCACAAGCCCCCTGCCCTGACTGAAATTTATTCCTCAGAGCCTTTCCCGACCCTTGGAATTCACCACATCCCAGCTCTTCATTTTACCTTCCAGGTGGATGTGATCTCTGCCTGCCCAAATTGTTTAGCTCTCCCCCGTCTTCATTTCTCTCACCTTGTTTGCACATGTCAGAGTCTTCCCTTCATCTTTGCCTCCTTCACAATGGGGGCTGCCACATTTTTATCTGTCTCCCCAGCCCCTAGAATGTTTTGGGAGCTTACATTCACAGAGAGGGCTGACTAGTAAGTGAAGCAGGCAAGGCCTAGCACACCCCCACACATATATCCCATGCTTGGATTCCTACTGTCAAAGGCTCTCTCTTCCCCCTGTACCACTCCGGCTTCCCCGTCACACCCACTCCCAGCTCACAAGTCACTGTAACTTTATCCCAGTCTACACAGACACACACACTCAGCAGGTAGGCCATTTTCCCCCTCTGGCCCACTACCTCACTTACTTGTGAGATTTTTTTGTATTGGCTCCATCTGGTCCCTTCCCACAATCATAGGCCTGGATGGTGAAGGTGTAGTCTTTCTGCAGTTCACAGTCCAGTTTCTCTCTGGAGCGAATTATTCCCTCACCAGTGGATTTATCAACTACCACGGCATCAAAGGGGACATTTTGTCCGTGAATTTTAAATCCACATATCTCACCTAAAGAGTCAAAGGAGCACAGGTTAGAATTCCAACCAACTACCCCCTCTGCACATTTTCCCCCCAAAATAAAAGACAATAATTTGGCAGCCAAGGGTTTGTGAGGGTCTGTGGACAAAGCAAGAACACTGTGCTTTAAAATGGGCGAATTCTGGGAACTTTAGTAAAAAGAAGCATACTCTGGCTTTCCAAGCAACTTGTATACTTTGCATCCATTCATGCAGGAATACAAAAGAGAGAGAGAGAAACGTAGACAGGCATTTCACAGGAGTACTTAAGATAGCTCAGGGTGAAAGTGTATCTCATAGAAGCCACAGCCAAGCCCACTGATAACAACTTGGATGTACACCGAGCTACGGGGAATAGCTGGGTAGCTGATTTGACGTGGACCAGAGCAGAAGGTTAAAATGCACAGTTATAAGCTGAGAGATGAAGAAGCTTCAGGAATAGGTTCAGCACCATAATTACAGAAATTCTGTCCAAAAAATCAAAACCACCAAGTCTTCCTGTGCAATGTACCTGGCTAAAATTAGGGAACCAAAAATAAACTCTTTAAGGAAAAAGGTAGAAATACCAACTTTTCAGGCATCCATTTCAACAACTATCTACTAAACATAGCACAATTTCTCTTAAACAGAACACTCTTTGTAGAGGGAAAGATCTGTTAGATTTCCTTTTCTTTCAGACTTCCTCCTACCAAACCTGAAATATAAAAAAACCTGCCTCGGTACTTAATTACAGCTAAGTAGATTATTAAAACTATTGTTTCCATTCTAATACATGGTGGAAAAAAAAATATTTTGATGATTACATAAGGCTCCATAAAATAGTGCATATGGAAATTATGACTTAACTGTTCCAAAATCCCAACTACTAGCAAGATTATCAATAAAAATACAAGTTCTTTTGACACTTAGACAAGTGCAGTATTTAAAAATTCTACAGTATGACCAGTAGAGTTCAAATGGATGTCTGATTTCCAGATATTTCTAGCCAAGGGCTGGTTACATGACAATTTTCATCAATATATTTTAAAATAGAAACAAAGTGGGAGAATAAAATGGGGCAATAGAGCATGACAGGATCTTCTGCTTAAGTGCTGACTCCCCATTTCATAACCAAAGTTAGTGGGTTAATATTCATAAGAGGGAAAGAAAGAACCCTTGATCACCTTCTTTGGTGACTGTCACCTCAAAACTCTCTAAAGGGAGAAAAGATAAACCCGAGTCAGTAATACAGAAAAGACTAGAGAAGAGAAAAATCAGGAACAAGTCAGAGATGTACACATTACGGAGAAAAGCTTGTGACACCAACTTCACCAAGACTGCAGGAGGCGCTGCTGGGACAGCGCGAGCCGAGCTTGAACCTCCAGAACAGCAATGCGGTTTTTGTAATTTGTGACTTACCATAAGCTACTGAGACATTCTGAAAGCCGACTGACTTTCAGACGAAATGCTGCTACAAGGCTCCATAACCCCAGGAGGTGTGAGTAGAGATACAGACAGGGTTTTATCGTCACAATGAACAATCAGGCCTGCCCACTTGTTCTAATTACAGATTTGAAGAATTTCATCTGTCAAGCTGTGCTCTCTCACCTAGCTTCTGGTAATACTGACTACATTACTTGAGTTTGGAGAAACTAAAAAATTGGAAAACAAGGGTTTTCCCTTTTCACACGTGGTTTGCTAACTAAATAAATTACACCTGTTTTTCTCTGAGCAAGAGGATAAAATTTCTGCACCTCTTTAGAGAACAGCAATTTGAATTCAAACTGTGGAACTAGCCTGAGAACTGCAGGCCAGGTCCTCAAGCACCAGTGGTTTCTGTTCCATACACGTGCTACATTCATTAGTTCTATTATATCTGTGTGTGTTTGCACATGTGCATGTAACTAACCAAGGAGAGTCCGGTGTCAAGAGGGTCAAATCTTTATCCCTATCTCACTACGTACATATGTAAGGAAAGAATGAGGCAGTGCTAGAGTCAGAGATGATGGTATTTCCAGTAATGTCTGAGGCCGATGTCTCTGACAAAGACCAAGGCTGTCCTCCAAATACACCAAATGAGACACAGAAAATCAACATTCTGGCAAGATGATTTCACTGAGAAGGATAAAAATGTCTGGCTACCTTTCAGAGGCCCCTTTCCTTCTGGGCCTAGATAAGTCCAACCTTCTTGAAACAGCCTCTTGATGAAGGGCGATTTAGAACCCTAAAATCTCAGGGGCCATCTAGTCCAGCCATACCCAAATAAGAGTCTCTTCTACAACACCTCTTTATTTTGATGCCTCCAGCGAAGTACGCCTTTTATTAAATCTCACCTCCACTGCCTCTGGAGGCAGTCCATCCATTCCACTTTGGGAGAGCTCTAATTGTTAGTAATTTTTTTCCTGATATACAGACGGAATTTACTTCTTTGCAACTACAACCCAGTGCTCTCTTAGCTTGGTCCTCTTGATCAAATCCAACTAATCTCTCTTCCACAGGCCATCCCCTCATATATTTGAAGACAGCAATAACATGCTCTCCCCTCCAGCCTCCCCCAAGTCTTCACTAGGCTAAATATCACTGGTTCCTTCAACCAATATGTCATAAATAAAGATCCTTCCTCCAAATGTAGCCTCCAGAACTGAACATAAACTTCCAGATACGTGGAATAGCACAGGGTACCCCAGGGCTACTGCTTCCTTACGTCAGGGCCCCAGGCCTCTCTCAATGCAGCTTTCTTAGCTACCACATCTCACTGCTGACTTAACGTTGAGCTTACAAGCCCCTCAAACTCCCAGATCTTCTTCAGATAAACTCATCTCTAACCGTATCTCAACCATCCTATCCTTGTAAAGTTCAGCTTTTAACCCAAATATGAAATCTTCACTTATCCGTGTTAAATCCTGACTCAATCACCCCGTGTCTTGCTTGTCATTGTCTGTCCTTTGTTGTCCAAGAGGACTGAAGACATCAGGAGAGGGATGACTTGCCTTGCAAGAGAACTGGATTTCAGTGAGGCAGGGCTGTGCCAGGCCACCAGCCTCACCCTCTCCTCCAGAGTCACTGGAGTTCAGTGGCAAGACACAGGTCAGGACGACTGGCGATTATCCCTTCCAGCTTTGTATCATTGACAAACTGAATAAGCTTGCACTCTACGTCATACAAGTCATTAATAAAAAGTGTTACTTTCTTCTGAGGTTTTAAAAATGTTAAGGAAATGATTCACAGCTACTCGGCATCTTATTTAGAGAACTCAGGAACAATAATGATTTGATGCAGGGTAAGAGGGACTGAAGCAGAGGAGCGGCAGAAGTAAATCATATGACCACAGAAAGTCAGGTAAGATCAGAGAACACAAAACTCCCTCCTAGTGGCAGGTATCTCAGGTGCATTTTTCAAGCCTGGATATCTCTAACTTAATGGATTACAGTTTATTACTCAAGATGGGTGACCCGCCTGGCAAGAGGGAAGCTGATAAGAACGAAAAGACAAGACCACAGTCCTAGGGGTAGCATTTAGAGGAGTGGACAATGTCAGGGAGCCTGTGTCACTCCTCTGCTCAAGAGCCTTTGAGGGCTCCCTCCTGCCTCTAGGAGCCAATACAAACTCTTTAGCTTGGCCTTCAAAGCCCTTCCTAATCCAACTCTACTGGACCTCCCTTCCACAGTACTTTGTTCTAGCCAAACCAATCGAGTGGCTGCTCCACGAGCTCAGAATGCCAGCTCCCACCTTCAATCTTTGTACTGGCAAATGCATGGACACAAATACCTTCCTTGTCACCCAACTCCTTAGAAGCCTGTGGCTCCCTTGGAGGCTTGACTGTGGTAACCACCCTCCATGAGAAAGGGCTTGTACGTACTGATCTGTGCATACATCTGGTCATTTGGACCAAGCCTGCTGTCCAGTGTAGGGAGCTCATGATGAAGAGTCCCTCTCCCAGTACAAATCATAGCCCTGGAAAGTTGTCTGAGATACTGACAGACAAGGGCACGTGTGCCTGAGCCCAGGCATCCTGACTCCAAGACCAAGACCCCGGGCTGACCTCTGGATACCTTCAGTCTACAGGTCACAACTATCAGACAGAATGCAAACACCATGAGAGCAGGGACAGCTTTGCCTTTTTCTCTGCACCCAGGACATGTAGGCACGTATGGAGTAAACATTTAATAAACACTTGCTGGGGCACATCCTGGTGTGTTGTTGTTGTTGAGGTTGTTGTTTAAATGCAATACATAAGGCAGCACAGGGTAGTGGAAAGTGTACTAGATTTGCAATCTGAAGACCTGGGTTCAAATCTTGGCACTGTAAATCACTACCAGTGTGACCTCAGGTGAGGTCATTTCTTTGGCTTTCCTTAACTATAAAATAAGAGGATTGGATAAATGACCACCTAGTTCCCTAACAGCTTTAAACTTATTACCTTATGTTAAAAAGCACAGTGTGGAAAGCTCAAATATAGATCCCTGGGAGACTTCACTGAAGATTTGATTTCCAAGTGGACATTAATGACCACTCAGAGTGTCTGGCATTCAGTCAATTTCAAATCCATAAGAACATGAAAAATTCCATCAAATATTTTGCTAAAGTTCAGGTAAATTCTAACTATTGCATTCCCCTGAATACAGGTTTGTAAGCCCATGAAAAAAAAAAGGTTAATCTAGCATAACTCAGTCCTCACAAAACCATGTCAGCCCTTTATAATCACCGCTTCCTTTTCTGGATGGTCACTGACCATTGCTTTAATGAGAGTCTAGCATCTTACCAAGAATCGAAGCCAAGTTTGTAGATTCTACTGAAGCCTATGCTCTGAAAACTGGGCCAAGATTTGCCCTTGCCCACCTCAGTCATTCTTCTCCTGTTCTCTGTGCTTTTCCAAGATGACGGACCAGAAATAACAGCTTCCCCTAGGATGTAGCTCCTCTAGGCCGGGGAACACCACCTAATCACGGTATCAAAGACAGATGCTCCTCTACCATGTTTTGACTACTCTTAGCCATCAACTCTCTATTAGCTAAATCTATTCCTTTTTCTCCAACCTAAAGGCTATTCCACTGGGCTGAGAAAATGGAACCAAAGGAGGAGTGGAAAGCTCTGCTCCTCTTTAGAGTCAGTTATTCTCCAGTCTGCACAAACACTCCCATCCTTTCTTGAATCCTCCTCTTCTCCCCAAATAACAACAAAGAGCAACCAAAGGAGGAGTGGAAAGCTCTGCTCCTCTTTAGAGTCAGTTATTCTCCAGTCTGCACAAACACTCCCATCCTTTCTTGAATCCTCCTCTTCTCCCCAAATAACAACAACAAAGAGCACACCAAAAACAAAACCAACTGCTTTCCTCAGCTCTTCTTGCTTGCTTCAGGTGATCTGGAGTTACAGCATTCTTGTCATCCAGGTCCCCGCCACGGTCCTGTATTTACCTTCTGCCCCTGTTCCATCTTCTGTAGAAACCTTGTAACATCCATTCCAAAGAACTTTGAAGTACCACTTGGTGCCAGGCACTGTGCTCGGCACTGCAGATATAAAAACAAAATGAAAAACAGTCCTTGTTCTCAAGCCAGGAGGTTACTTTCTTAACTCAAAGGTGCAGAGGTAGGAGCCAGCAAGCAGGCTGGTCTGGCTGCCAGGGAGAGCACAGGAAGCAGAGAAATGCGCCTAAAAAGGCAGCCTACAGCTCTGGTGAGGGAAGCACTGTCAACGTCCAGCAGCGGGACTGCATTCTGGAGCAGAGGAGTGATGTGGTCAAAGGCCTTCTTTAAGAAGGTTATTCTAAAGCCTAAGAGCTAGGTCAGATCCCCAAGAATCAGTACTGATCTCTTGGGACAACTCCCCTTCCCCCCCCCCAATCCCATGTTTAGAGCTTCCCATCTCTCCTGGGCTGACTCCCTCTACAGAATTTTAGTCCATGGGCTCCTGCACTCTGAACCTCTCAGAATCCATTCACCTGAAATCTAGGTTAATATGCAAGGCTGTTTCCAGCCTTTAAATAGATATTCTATTGTCTACAGGAAATTAACAGAAGGTTAAGGGACTTGTTCACAATGAGATGGAGAAGACTTTATTCATTGCTTACTATGTGACAGGCATTGTGCTAAGAACCTAGGATACAAATGCAAGGAGGCAAAATGGTTCCTGCCCTCAAGAAGTATATATTTAAATAAAGAAAATTGGGGGTAGGCATTGGCATGGTTTGTAAGGATGACCAGAAAGTGATACGTTA